TCTACGGCTCTTTATGTTGCTACACACATTATCTACCTGATACGTTGATCCATATACGATCCGTGATGTCAAGAATCCTATTTAACGATTCTCCTATTTTTGCCTTTGTAACAACTCTGAATGGATTTTTGTTACGGAAGAGTTATACTTGATTATCGTCACTTGGTTGTTGAAAATACTAAAAGGTTCTACTTCCTCCCCCTACACTACATACATACACTATACGACACAGTATACAGAAATTCCATTCGTTTATCTTTATTGCATTTTCTAAAAGACAAAAAATAGTTAAAATTTTTAATACTTAAACCTAAATAGTTAAACTTGAAGCTGGGCAAAGATATGTAACAATACCTTTCTTAATGACTCAACCAATAAACATCCTTTGTTAAGATCAGTCTTACAAATTTTATTATTTTCTTTTTACTTCAATTTCTTATCTCGAAGTAAAATAACTGTGTACCAAAAATATATTGAGATTTTGTTTAACAATGTCAATCTATAGCCAACGAACAGTAGTCTTAATTACGTAACATACATTAGGCCTTCAGTCCGGACGAAGATGTTAGTCCGGGCTAAGAGCAATGAAATGAAATATTGTTTGGAGTTTGGATTTTAGATTTTTTCGTCAAAACTTAAATGTCTACCAGATGACTGAAGTGTTCTATCCAGATCTGATGACGAAGCGTTATATGCTTTTACAATGTAGGCCTATAGTCATCGCACACTGAAACTGCAAAGACCGAAAAGCCTCTGGCAATTAGAATAAGCTGGTTACAGTTTGTATGAGTCGTAATAAGCTCGGTGGTTACAGTGATTGCCTATAGTAGGCTAATCAACAGGATTATGTTCAATGAAGACAGTAACCTTGTAGGGGCCTTTTCATCATCAAGTCTTTCACATCAGTCTTAACTTCCGCTCGTCCAGACATCGAATGCTGGAAGGGAGTCTGTTAAAACACTTTATGGCAGTTGTGGGGAAGGAGTTAAGCGTCTGCTGCTGTTCATTCTTGATCGGGTCCCCATGGGTGGTGTCCCCATCTCAATTTGATCACGATAATAATAATGTTATTATTAATTACTCAGCATAGACGTTGATTATACATGTATAATCAGGTGTATATGAAAAAAGGTTTTTTAGTTTCCTTAGAAAGGTTAACGCTTGCTATAGCGTGATTTTAAATTGTAACGCTCTCGGAAGTAATATAAATCTAAACCATGAACCTAAATCCAAAAGTCCACTAGCCTACTATTTCTTTTTACCAGGAAACAGATTACGATACTATATTGCCATTGACTTTGAATGGTAAATTTTCGACGTAATTTTAAGCTCTGTTTATAAGTACGTAGCTCAAGTTATACTCCGTTCACAAAATTTAGGTGGTTTTAGGGGAAGAAGTCTCTCCCCTCCACTTCATGATCCTACCCCTACCATTAAAACACAGCTCAGCAGCTGAGATTTGTCAAAACGCCAATCCGTTTCAACGTTAATCAGAAAAAAGTTGTGGGGGAACTTTCCCTTAAACCGCCTAAATATTGTGAACGGAACAACGGAGAAGTTTGTTCAACTAAATGTAGGGATAGTTTTTATTTAGAGTAGACGTCACGATTCCTGATTTACGGTTTTATAGCTAGAGAACGGGTTACTCTTTATAATTAGATCGCTAGTTAAAATTTATTTTAAATGAGTTAACTAAAGTTAACAAAAATAAAGAGTTAGTTATAAACAACAACAAAAACACAATATCTTTGTGAGGGAGATAGGGACGTGTTCCATTTCTGGTATATCCACAAAACATTTTAGAGCTTTGAATCCCATACATTAAAGCGTTTGTGATACTTTTATTACAAATGCCACTAGCGTAGGCAACCAAACCATATCTGATCCATAAGGATGATAAATACCTCAAACGAGTAATAAAAATATGGTGACGCTAAGGCCCCGTTTATGCACCAAGTGCGGTAGCGGTAGCGACAGCGGGAGCGATTTCTAACGATTACGTGCCCGTACAGCGCGTGCTCGTACAGCGCACCAAAAAATGGCGGAATATCGTGCTCGTACAGCGCAGTCTACTTGGAACGCCCGTCCGTCTGTCTGTCTGTCTACCTGCTCTGTATTTCAATGAACTAGTGGTATAAGCAGAGAGCACTTTGGGCTTTTTATAATTTTTGAATGGCCGTATAAGTCCTGATTACCACCACCACCACCAAAATCGTAGTTTGAGGATCCAGATTTACACTTTATGTATGTTCAAGGCCGCTTGTGAGAGTCAATAAATTGAAGCTATGTCTTTAGTACTTTTTAAAATATTTAACTGTCCTAAGACTTTTTCCACCCTGTATATACAGTATATATATGTATATAATTATATAAAGTGGGAGAGAGAAAGAGTGACCGGATATAACATGTCATATTAACTACCGTGATCGTTGTAACGTAATTGTATTATTGGTCATCGTTATCGATTACTTATTCTCTTGTTTTAGGTTAAGATTGTGTTCCCGAGTTCGGTTATTACACGATATTCTTCAGCCAAGCTCATAAAACAAAAGTTCAAATTGTCAAAATTATTACAAAAACAGCATTTGCACCAATACCTTTTACAACAAAAAATCGAACGATTAGTGTTTTGACATGAGGCATATTATATATAATATAATATGCCGGTGAATTTAAAGTATAAAATTAATTATATAATATAATTAATTGAAATAGTTTATATTTTAAATTAAATTTTATTAAGTTTTAAAACAATAATATGTCTATTCGCTCTGAAAAACAAGCAAATAATATTCTGAGAAATTATTTTTATGCACACCTAAAGAGATAAGTGGAATATTATACATTTTGCACTGGCATTTTGATTTGACCCTTGCATATTTGTTCCCTCATATTTAACTTACACCTTATTGTATCATGTATGGATGACGTGACACTAATGGAAGGTTAACAAAGCTCAGCCCTTAAATACTATGAATTGAACTAGATTTTTAAATCAGAGAAGTATGTACCAGAGGAATTCTTCACTATCAATAAAAATAAAAAAAAACTATAGCCTTTAACTGAGAATATATAAAAATAAGCCTTAAGAAAAGTGTGGTCACTAAACATTATCAAATTGTGATTAAAACAAGACAAATTATGCATATCAGCATACGGAAATATGTAGTTAGATTGGAAACGAACATGTTCAAAATATTTAACGAATTTACTGTTTGGTATTCAATTAATAATATTCATCTGAATAAAGTATTTGTTTTAATGTACCTTACGTGCTTAGTTTAACTTAGAAGATTTTTTTTGTTTAAATACTGTAACATAATTTGAATTTTAAGTAATATAAATAATTTCTATTTTAAAATATACTTTTATGTATATTATTTTAAATTACAAACATTTTGCTTTCTGTTATAGGCCTAACTACTACAAAATATCCTATATATTTTAAAAAAATTGGGTTTTCTTTTCCGAGTGAAGTCTCAAATTGAAGTTACGCACTCACAGACTTCACAGCAAGAAACGGCATGTGTGCGAAATATTTATCTACTGTATTACTCGACCAAAAAACATAAATTTGATTTATTTTCAAATTCCTACTTCAATTTAAGGTTTCACTAATTATAATTATATAATCCTATATATTATGGTCTAAGAACCTCCAGGGAAATATCGACTTTTATTTGTTTATTTATCTATTAGTTATTCAAATCAGACAAGTTTCAAGCAAACGCAAGGTGAACAACCAACGTAAATGTTTTTATAAGGGGTTTCTATGATTTAAAATCAATACCTCCAGTATTGTTTGGGGTTTTTTTATATGTTTTAGACTCAAAATAATTAGTAAATTATAGGCAATAATTTGAGCCATTGATTGTTTGAATACGTTAATTGCAAGATAACTGTATTATTCAATAAAAATCACAGACTTAAATATTTCTCGGATATTAGATTACATTTATTTTAACGCTGCGGAGCAGCATGGGTAATCTAGATTGGCTTTTATTTCAATCAGTAGAATAATAAGTACTGCACAACTGCTACCTTAAACGGCTAATGGGGTTCTGTTTGGTATCGACCATACACAATCAACACACAATATTTGTCCAGCAACTGGTGGCACTGGGTGAGACTTAAACACAACTGAACAACGAATATTTTTTTCTTGGACTTTGAACATTGTAAAGAATCTGCGGGAATTCCAAATGTCTGAAGTTGCATCGACCGCTTTGTTACCTTCCTGCAGGTATTTGGGGTTGGGGTATTCGGCCTTCAAAATATATACTGTAAGACATGATCAATTTCAAATTACCGTAGGTTATTCTAGGGGTTGCATTTGGACGGGTCAGTGTTAGGTGTCTTGTGGAAATTAGATGGGTGAATGATTGGTCCTTCCTGGAATTAGGGACACCATGAAACTGCGCTGTACGAGCACTGCGCTGTACGAGCACGCGCTGAAACAGCACGACACCTTTCTAACACCATTGAGTTAAATGGGGCTGTTTATGCACCAAGAGCGATAGCGATGGGAGCGATTTCTAATTCGCCCGCTGTGTAGTTAGGAGTCGCAGCGGTTGCTTGGGCTGAAGCCAGGGTTGCCAACTTGACCCACGCGCACGTGCACTTAGGACAAATTAATAGTTGTGTTAATTATTTGGCAGAGTTTGAGTTGGCAAGACTGTGTCCCCCTTCCATTCTCCTCTAACCAACCGCTACCGCTATCGCTCTTCGTGCATAAACAGACTCATTACAGCGGGAGCGAGCGGGCCCGCTCCCGCACTTGGTGCATAAACGGGGCCTAAAATATCAATTTTTTATCGAACTACAAGGCTCTTTGTAACTATTCAATGCAACAAAAAATAAAAACAAAGAAGCAAAGGTTTGCTATGCTAGGCTTCATATTTTTGTTTTCACATGTCCCAATTCCAAAAAAAACCAACCTTTTTTATTTTCTTTGTTTTCTTCTCATCTTCTACTTCTCCTCTTCTGTCAAATTCGGAATCCGGATTGTCATTGAATGGCTTGATTTTGATTGTCTAGTCTTTTCTCTGTTTTATGAGGTTAAATTGTGTTGATTAAACCATTAGATAATGTCGGCCGCATCAGATGAATTAGGTACTAATTGCTAGTATTTTGTTTTTTTTTAGTTGTAATATTTAAGTGTTTATTCCAGCCTAAATTCTATTTTTAGTGTAATTTGTCATTCGGCTTTCTCCAAAACTTAACCTCAACAAAACCATAATTCTAATTTGTTTTTAATAGTTTTTAAACTATTAATTTTAATGTTTTGTTTTCTTACTTAGTTTACATCCAACCTTATTATATTTGTTCTGACATGCATTATAAGTTAATTAACTTAAGTTTTAATTCACTTAGTTGATTTGATTTAAGTCATTCAGCTAGGCCTAGGCCTATTTGTTTTTTAAGTAAGCCTATCTTAGTGTGGCCTAGGTCAAGTTTACCATAACTAGGGCTTATTTTCGTACAAGGTCCACTCAAACTATTGTCCCGTTTAAATTTAAGTTGTTAACAAAAATAGATTAGCCTAGGTAGGTAACTTAGGCATCTAAAACAGTTTAATAGTAGGCCTAAATTAGACTTAAATTTATAAAATGATGAAGTCTTGAAGCAAACTGTCTGAGCTGCTGAGAGGTTACTTTGCTTACCTTTGAACTTGAAGGATGCTAGTTCGATTTCGAGAAGGATTATTCTAGACCCTAATAAGTCTTTTAACTATTGATCAAGAAATGGTGATTCTTAGACTGTAGAAAAACAAAAGGAACAGAGATAGTATAAAAGTATACTCTAAATGAGAAAATGAATCTGTCTGGTTCATAGTTCATTCACTACCTACCACCCTCAATGCACTCTTTTGCAATGAAGTTGTATAGCCTATGTTTCACAAAGGAAGAAAAAGCTTAAAGTGTAGTGTTCGTCTTTAGTCTTAAGTAATACGGTAGGCATTATTCAATTGATTACTACTTAGTTTCGGGTTTTCAAACTGGTTTTCAAGAGACTTGGAAATTTAACCGTCTGCAGCCACTACGTCTACGCCAGCCCTGATTAAAATCAAATGCAGTGTTCCACTTCTCAATATAGGCTAAGAAGTCACATCCATGCTCATAACACCAGAGCTAGGTAGAATCTTGATGTTCCCGGGTAAGATTGAGCAGAACGCTCAACTCCTTTCCCACATCTGCCATCAATTAAAACTTGTATTTTTTGAATTTTAACAGACTCCCTTCCAGCATTCAATGTTTGGACGACCGGAAGTTCAAGACTGCTGTTAAGGACTTAATTAATGAAAAGAACATGCTACAAGGTTACTAACTTCTTTGAAAATAATATGGAGCGGAGCAGTTAACTTTTTGTACCGTCTGCTGCCTGCCCACAATGTAAATGTACAGTTTCAATTTATGTGTGCGTTTAGTTTTTCGTGTTCTGTGTACTTATCGTAATTAATTAGACACAGTCTATTCCCTCTGCCAGAGTGTCAAAGGCGAAGGCAAATACAAACACAAATATATTTGTTACAAAAGCCAGTAGATAAGGGTTTTCCAATTAATGACGTGTTTTTAAGACACTATACACCATTTTGTTGTTCAAGCTATACTACATGTAGGATTATTGTTATCAGCTGAGTTATAAAGTTATGAATCATCTGCTATTTGGATTAAATCAATAGTTTTGATTGAGTTTACTTAAAATGAGTTTTAATAATTAATTATTCTATACCACAATATCTAAATCTTACTTATTATATTTTCCAGTTCTACTAGAGAGAGTCTTCTTAAGGATCGGTTCAGCGGATACTGATGAACAGCTTGAGCAACTCCTGAACAAGTTTTTACCTCCAGTTTTGTTGAAGCTCTCAAGTACCCAGGAGGATGTTAGAAAAAAGGTAAACCTGTCATTTAATAACAGATAAGACTCTTAAATCATCTTAGCCAAACATAATACTCTCTGAAATATGCTCGATTGCTAGGGTTATTTTATTGCTAAGTTAATGTTCGGTGTAGGGCCTATACCGTACTAGGCCTATTGTTACGTGGAAAGAAATTTTCTCAGGGGTTACACCAAAACATGTTCTGAAAGTGGAGAAAGAGGCCCTTCCATTCTTTGCCAAAAATGTATTCATAAATGCTTTACAATATTTAGGGCTGTCTAAAAGTCGGAATATGCCTTTCTCTCTTCTTTTCTTTCCTTAGCAGGCTACAGTTCAAAGGGTTGAGCCTTTTATTTCAAATTTATCTGGTTAAAAAGATGGGCTGATTTGATTTCCTATGGAGAAAAATGGATACCTATTTATGGCCTACATTTGTGTTTTTAGAGATTTTTTTTATGTAAAAACCTTTTAAAATAATTTACTTCTTTGAATTTATTATTAATGTTAAGATGCTTTATGGTTTACATCATTAAATTTGTAATTACATTACAGGTAATGGAGTTGCTAACACATATCAACAAAAGGGTGAAAACCCGTCCTCAGATTCAACTTCCTGTGGAGGCTCTGCTGGTGCAGTATCAGGACCCGTCTGCCAGTGTCTTTTTGACTGTAAGTTTATAGTGTACTAGTGCTGTTGATTTATACAATAGACTCTCGCTAATCTAGCATTTGTTTGAGACTCTGGGAGTGCCAGATGTTAGCCATTAAAAATAACTTGGTGATAATAATTTTTGACAAACGGAATGTCTTCTTTGTTCTATTCACCCACATTTCTGCTAGAGAGCGTAGGCCTACTTCAAAGCTATAAACAAAAAGATCCTAGTATGAACCATTTTAAATAATCCTGGTTTAACTCGATGGCTTTGTATAATCTGGCACTTTATTTTAATATAGCTTGTAATACAACAGTTTAAGATCTTATTAACCCAAAATCAAACAGTTTTATTATATTAAATGTTAATCTTTGATTATGTATGTTTTAGAATTTTACAATTATCTACATAAAGATGGGATTTCCTAGATTACCAAGTCTAAAGCAAGCTGAGCTCATTACTTCTGTCCTGAACTCATTGCACAATAAACCTCAAGCTCATCAAGAAAGGTAAGATAGACATTTTTAAAAGAAAGAAATATTATAGTAAGCTTTAAGTTACCTTGTTTGGGAATTTAAAAATAAAATACTGCAGGATGAATTCATGGTACCTTTAATCTGCCATGCATATGCTCTCATTCAAGAGAAAAAGGACAACATTTTACCTCAATGTTTGTCCATAAGCAAAATAATTCAAACGAATGTTACGTAGTTCGACCAGGTCCGGCCTTAGGTGGTTTGGGGCCTGTTGCAAACATTAGGCTACTATAAAAGTATTAACCTATTTAAATAATACATACTAAATACATTTTAGTGTCTAACAGTATTTATAGGTACTCCTCCTTTTTCTTTTTTCATAATTGACGTCAGAATTTTTAAAAAATGTTTGCACGGTACGTGTTGCCTTCTTTCGCATGTACATAAGGCTGGCTTTGAGTTTGACCTGGGAATATGTTTTCCTTCTAGGAAATATACTTTTAAGGTGTCTGAACAATAATTGTGATCAGTGGCGGCTCCAGCCAGGGGGCGCGGTGCCCCCCCCCCCTCGGACATAAAAATTGTTTAACTATCGGGTAGGCCTAACATGTAATAATGATGGGCATGGCCTACACTCCTACCAAATAATTATTTAACTGCTAGAAATTGACTAATTTATGTATTTTCCCTCGGAAACTTACTTAACTCTACAAGTGTATTCCACTTTAGTTGCATTTATTTTGAAGAAGCAGTCATATTCGACTGAATAAAGAACATTTTACGTACTTCAGATTGCGTTGCACTAGATCCACTCCAGTCTACATGAACTAGATTAACACGTTCACTGCTAATGACGCACTTGTGCGTCATAAGTATATTAGCAGATATATAATACATGATGTATATAATTACATAATATATTTTAATCCACAATTTATAGTATAAAATTTATTTAACTAAAGATATATTGTCACTCAATTAACATGATCATGTTAATGTTTATGTTTTTTAGCCATTTATAAAAGTATTACATATCATTAGCAGTGAATGTGTTAAATCCGGTGTGACCGTAAACTGGGGGAATATTGAACCGCCACAAGTTTTATGACTGTCCCGAGATACTTGAACCGCCACGATCATTAAAGCGGATTATAAGGGTCAGTTTCGTAGGGTTGTAAAACAATTGAACCGCCACACGAGTTCTGCCAGGTAGCGAGGGAACTTTTTGAAATGTTTATTCCTCCAGTTTGCCACTTTTGATTTAGGATGGACTAAGAGTCTAGATTCAAGACTAGTGCGATCAACAAACTGTAGTTCTTAGTACAAATAAACTACAACGTTAGTGTTCCCAATGTTAGTAAAGAGGATATTGGTTTTCTCATTTTTCCTTCCTAGATTGTTTTAAAACATACTAATATTATATTTGATTTGTGCGTCAACGTAAAAAAACACTTCAGATATGTTAGTTTATGTCAATGTACAGCTTTGGAAGTTCATTATGGTACTGGATTGTTGACAAATCTTCTCCTTCCTAGATTTGTAAAACCCTAACTTAAAACATTACGTTTAATGATATAGGTTAGGGTTTCAAATATTTAGATAGTTGTTTACGACAAACTAACAAGATGGTGCATTTGTGTATGTGAAATTTAACCATGCTTCCGATTTACGTGTCACAGTGTAGCACTGAAAGTTCTTAATAAAGCTAAAATTCTTTAAATAACCTACTACCTGAGGCATCTCCAAATTCAATGATTTGGAAGAAAACATTAAAAATAAAATTCAAAACTGCGTATATCTTGCAAAATATTAGAAACATGTTCTTATTTCTTCGTCCCTTATTACACTTTCTTATAGTGCAAGGACTGGTTTGGTTGTTTATTTATGAGGCATGTCCAAATTCAATGATTTGGAAGAAAACATTAAAAATAAAATTCCAAACTGCGTATTTCTTGCAAATTATTAGAAACATGTTCTTATTTCTTCGTCCCTTATTACGCTTTCTTATAGTGCAAGGACTGGTTTGGTTGTTTATTTATTTATTTATTTTAACGGATACACCATTTACAAAATAATATGTGTTATAAGCACATGAGCAGAAAAGATAGCAATTGCATTGGAAATAAAGAGAAGTTACATATAGCCTAACCATTGAACAAAGTCAATGGACTCCTGGAGAGTCTTGGAGGATTATACGGCCAGCGACCATCAATACATTATTTTCAATGTCTTAGATCGCATCCCGAGACAAGTTGCTGCATCTCGGGAAGTGCCCGTTCGGTGGAACACCAAAAAACTGGACGTGGCTAAATTCACCGAGGCCATCCTGCGGGGAGTGCCAGCGGTGCCTGCCGCACCTGGCATGACTCATGCAGAGGCTATAGTTACATCGATGATGGGGCTGATTGCCTCGGCTTGTGATGAGTCAATGCCCCGCAAGAGACTCCGTTGCGATAGGAGACCCGTATACTGGTGGACTGCAGAGATCGCGGATTTGCGCCGAGCTGCTTTGAGAGCTAGACGACTCGCTACCAGGGCCAGGGTACCCTTGGATAGACGCCGTAAGCTGGAGAGCTACAAGGTGGCGAGGAAGTCTCTCCGCCGGGCCATCAACCGGAGCAAACACAATTGCTGGAAAACACTAAGGGATGATGTCGATTCCGACCCGTGGGGCCTGGGTTACAAACTAGTAACCCAAAAACTCACCACTCGCTCTCCACCTTCCGTCATGGAGGGGGCCGCTATGGAGAGGGTCGTCAAATCCCTTTTTCCGGATCATATTCTGCGCCCACTGCGTGAGTTTGAGATGATGGACGATGTCCCACTCTTCACTCATGAGGAGCTGGAGACTGCCGTTTTATCCCTAAAAAACAACAAGGCTCCTGGACCTGATGGGGTACCTGGCGAGGCTCTTAAGAAGGTTTTTTCAATCAATCCCCTGATTCTTCTGAGCATGTACAACGCCTGCCTAGCAGAGGGGGTATTTCCGTTGTGCTGGAAAAAAGCTAGGCTCGTGCTCGTAGGGAAGGGGAAAGGAGACCCAGAATTGCCGTCCTCTTACAGACCCCTTTGCATGTTGGATACGGCTGGGAAAGTCCTAGAGAAGTTGATCAGTTCCCGACTGAATTCAGCCGTGGTTGCTGCGGGGGACCTGAGCCCTCGCCAATACGGCTTCAGGAAGGGGCGATCAACGGTGACGCTATTGAGGAGGTGAAGCAAGCCGTGATGAGAGCTGAGGATTTTAATCACTACTCTCGTAGGGTTGTGCTGCTCGTTACACTCGATGTGCGAAACGCATTTAATTCTGCAAGATGGTGCGATATGCTGGACGCTCTGGAGAACAACTTCCACGTCCCGGCATACCTCATGCGCATTATAGAGGATTACCTCCGGTTCCGCCTCCTCATGTATGATACTACAGAAGGCCCGCGGACGATGAGTGTCACTTCTGGTGCTGCCCAAGGTTCCATACTCGGCCCGGACCTCTGGAACGTTGCCTACGACAGCCTCCTTAGGTCTGAAATGCCTGAAGAAACCGTTTTAGTTGGGTACGCAGATGACATTGCAGCTTTAATAGCTGCTCGTAGTGTTGAGCTGGCCCAGCTAAAATTAAACCGAGTCATGCGAACTATAAACGCATGGATGGCAGATCACGGTCTCTCACTCGCGCTGAACAAAACTGAGATCGTGATTCTGACCAAAAAGCGGATTGACACCATTGTGCCGTTGAAGGTGGGGGACGTCGAAGTCCAGTCCGTTCGTGCCGCCAAGTATCTTGGTGTCATGGTGGACTCTAAGCTTAGCTGGCGGGACCAGATATTCCGAACGGCGGACAAGGCCGCTAAGGTGATCTCTTCTCTTAGCCGGTTAATGGCCAATGTCGGAGGTCCTCGTTCCAGTCGCAGAAGGCTGTTGATGTCTACAGTTCAGTCTGTGCTCCTGTATGGTGCGGAGGTGTGGGCAGACGCGCTCAATAAGGAGGTGTATAGGATGCGGCTTGCCAGAGTGCAGCGTCAGGCAGCACTCAGGGTAGCATCCGCCTACCGAACAGTGTCTGAACCTGCCATCTTGGTGGTTGCTGGAGTAATCCCCGTCAAACTTTTGGCGGCGGAGAGGAAAGCGATTTATCAGCGGCGTGGAGAGGACCATGCAAAGATGGAGGAGCGCAACCGCACCTACCAGCTCTGGCAGGAGAGCTGGGAACAGGAGTCGCGGGGACGCTGGACCAGGAGACTGATTCAGCAAGTCCAACCATGGGTTGACCGACGGTATGGTGAGGTGGACTATTACCTTACCCAGTTTCTGACAGGTCACGGGTTTTTTCGGTCGTACCTGTTCAGGATGGGCAAAGCCGTGTCACCCGATTGCATCTACTGCCCAGGCACTCCCGACGACGCGGAGCACACCTTCTTCCGCTGCCAGCGTTGGGAAGGTTCCCAACCAGCCTGGAGGCTGAACAACATGTAGGGCAGTTGTTGGTGGACACGGTCATTCCGATGATGACGGAGGGTGAGGACAATTGGACCTGTATGTCACATTTCGTCCAGGATATTCTCCGCACAAAGAAGCTAGAGCTTGACCGAGATGCGGTCTAGGTCATAAAGAAATTGAATGCCAGAAACGGCGCGAGCCCTGAGGGCTTAGGTCACACATTGACCTGACCTGAAGTAATGTTACAAACAATCCCAGGTCTGTGTCCAACAGAGTATAGGGGTTTTTTAGTGAGTAGTCTGACAAGCTCAGGAGTCTCACACTACAGGCTGGCTACCTGTGTGCGTAAAAGCATTTTTACCTCCTCTCCCTTAAAAAAAAAAAAAAAAACCATTGAACAAAACAGCACTGAAACAAAAAATAATAAAAACAAGATCAAGATAGCAACGCAACAACAATAACATATAATAACATTAACAAAGTATTGTACAGATAATTACAAAATACCCCCGCCAAAATTGTGTTTTTGGCCTCTGGGGACATCAAAATGAAAAAGTAAATTGGTCCCGGGTCTAGGTCTTACCGTGCCACCTACGGTAATAGCTACTTCCCTATTGGGAAATTCGCTAAAATCTATTATATTATTAAAGTGATACAATCAAATGTTATGTAAACGGTTAAGGCCATTTACCAAATAAAAATATAGGCATATGGCATATCAAAATGAAGCTTAGAGTGTGTAGATTTTCCGAAAAGTATTGATATGAAGAGCTCCCTAAGGGCTCTGCCCCACAGGCTGATTTCCAAAGGGCTACGCCTTGCATGTTTTGGTAGTTATCATTTGATTAATTTAGTGAACAACAGCTGGCCAATGCAATTAAAAATATAGTTTGTTTGTTTACATTTTTGTTTACTTATTTTATTATCTATATATTTAATACGCTAGGCATATTTTTGTCATAATTGTTTTGGAGCGGCGGTGCTACCGATCACCATGTCCAAGGTGTCGTTAGAAAGGTCTTAGCATGTAGTTTTGCCATCAAACAAAAAAACTTTGAAATTCCATCAAGGCCCTGCCCCAGTGGCCTTCAAAGTCCCATGTTATTCTTAGGGAGAAAATGTTTGTTTATATTTGAACAGATGACCAATTATATTTTATATTTGAGAAATTGACACTAATATTTGAAACAGCTGGTAATACTAAAATTGTGAATAAAATCAAAACATAACCAAAAAAACTTTCAACATAATGGAGACTATAAGACGTTGACCAGGACGGCCAATAGGAGGAGGCTGACGAACTTTAACTGGTAGATGCGAAAGAAATACAAACAATACTACTGTCGTTGATAGCCGAATACAGCAAGCACCCTTCCGTGTGCTCTCCAACAGCCGCCTGAAGATTTCACATTAAATTTAGATCTGTTGCTTAAATTTCTGCATAAGCTGTTGATTTTGGAAGATAATGCGGCGGGTAGGACTACATCGGAAACAGAAGAGAGGAGATATTAGATGATTGGCAAATGCGTTGGGAGCAGAGTGTTTTATGTTAACGTTTTTAAGATAAACGTTCGGATATATATCTAACATCAGAGAGGGACTGGAACAAGATTGGGAGATGGGCCATTATGAAACGCAGTTTGTCACAGAACATGGGAAATTTCAAGGCAATTTTGTGAAGATTTCAGTGGAAAAGGAAGTATGTAGATAGATGTGGAGAAATAAAAACCACGAAGTGATAAAAACATGATGATGTGTCAAGGAAACAAGTGAGATGTTTAGAAAAGAAGCTAGGGAAATAGGAAAATTCAGGGATACATACAAGCGTTAAAATTTAAAAAATAAATAAACCAAAACTAAGAAAGAAAAGGAATGAAAACCTGTCCATGAAGGGGAGAGGAAAGGTTAGAGCGAATCTCAATGACCCCTATCGCTCAGGGCGGTATGGGGAAGGGAGTCGTGCTGTTAGGCTTTTGGACCCATGTGTCTGGAACCTAATGCGGATATGAGTAAGGCTATTTGTAGAAAACACTATTTACAATAAATTTTGGTTATATCGATCTGTTATGTACATCTTGAGTATTTCCATAATCTTTGAGTTGAATATTTTAAAGTAGGCTACCTAATCAGAAATTATGACTGTTATTCGTTTTAAAATTAACGCCTGTAATACTTAGCAATTGCTCGAATTCGAGCAACAGGTACACTAGTTTACTTTTATGTTCTTAAAATAAGTGCAGCAAATGGACAGTGAAGCTAAGCTGTTTGATACAAGTGAGTGATTAAAGGTGTTTGAAACACGATGAATATGAGATTAACAAACTTTGTATGTTCTTCGTTCCAAGAGGTTGTCACCGATCTTTAACAGATTGCAATTTCATTGAAAAGTATTAAAGTAAAGTATTAAAGACGTCGTGAAAGAGAGCGGTGAGTTCAGGTACAACCTCGGCCAAGCTTCAGGACGTAAGGTATGAAGGTTCCACTGCTTTTAACATCATTTCAGATGACATGTTCTCGAACTTGGGTCCTTTAAATGAAATAGAAAGTCAAATTTGATTAAATTAATTTAATGGTGGCTTCTGTTCACCCGTGAATTTGCGGGTAGAACCTCTTGTATTTAATAATAATTTGGATTTCTGAAAAAGCATGTAGATTTTGATAGTACAACAACAACAACAAATATCTCCTCAAGATTTAACAATGTTGTGTGAGTAGTTGTGAAGAAAAATTTACGTAAAAAAAATTAACCTGCTTAGGCCTACTGCATTCTTATGTTTACATGATAAAAATCATGTAAAAATCTAGCCGTCTATACTATGCCCGAAAGTCGAAAAAATCAGCCTGGGCTTAGAAAATCAGCCTGGACAGCCCGGGTGAAGAAAATCAGCCTGGGTAGCCCGGGTTAAAAAAGTCAGTCCGGGCAGCCCGGGTTCTGAAAATCAGACCGGGCAGCCCGCGTTTAGATTTTCTAAACCCGGGCTGATATTCTGAACCCGGGCTTATTTTCTTGTTCCGGGCTGATTTTTTCGACCAGGGCTAATTTTCTGAGCCCGGGCTGATTTTCTAAACCCGGGCTGATTTTTTCGACCAGGGCTAATTTTCTGAACCCGGGCTGATTTTCTAAACCCGGGCTGCCCGGGCTGATATTCTTCACCCGGGCTGATTTTTTCGACCCGGGCTAATTTTCTGAACCCGGGCTGATTTTTTACACCCTGGCTGATATTCTAAACCCGGGCTGATTTTTTCGACCCGGGCTGATTTTCTAAAAAATCAGGGGTTTTCAGTCTGAAGGAAAAATCAGTCTGATTTTCAACACCCGGGCCGCCCGGACACAGCCCGGCTGTTATTGAACCCCACGATTTTTTTATGACAGCCCGGGCAGGCCGGGTTTTGAATTGAAGAAAATCAGCCCGGACTGCCGGGTGTAGAATATCAGCCCGGGCTGCCGGGTGTAGAATATCAGCCCGGGCAGACCAGGTTTAGAATATCAGCCCAGGTTTAGAAAATCAGCCCGGGTTCAGAAAATTAGCCTGGGTTGAAAAAATCAGCCCTGGCAGCCCGGGTTCAGAAAATCAGCCCGGGCAGACCGGGTTTAGAATATCAGCCCGGGTGAAGAAAATCAGCCCGGGTCGAGGAAATCAGCCCGGGCAGCCCGGTTTAAAAAAATCAACCCGGCCGGCCCGGGTGTAGAAAATCAGCTCGGGCAGCCCGGGTGTAAAAAATCAGCCCGGGCTGATAAAATTTAAAATTTCTTTAACATTAAAGTTTAGTTGTATAATCAGTGGTCAGTGGTTGTTCTGGTATTGACTTTAGATTGAACGTATGTAATCTTTTCATCCTATTGACAACATTTTACAGGTTTATAAAACTTCATAAATAATTCAACTTTTTTTGCAGAAATGTAAAAGCTAACTTTCCATAATCAATATTTTGTTCTTGTAGTTTATTACTGTTGGTGGTCGCAGCTCTTCAGCATGTTCAGTGGCCGTCGGACCCAGCCAAGCGACAAGCTATGTTCAACCTTAGTGAGAAAACGACTACAAAAAAGTTGCTCTTACATATGATTCACGATGTTCTTCTGATGCCTTATGGGTAAAATTTGCCTTTTTTTTGTAATAAATTCTTGAAATTTTACATTTGCAAGTATACTGTAGAATCATACAAAATGGCTAATAAGTGATCCTGAAATAATAATATGCATATTATAACTAGCTGAGTGCCCAAGTATGTAATTGTTTAAGAAGCTTTCTCCAAAATCAGAAGTTTATAAGCTCAAGAATTTTGAAGGTTTGAAACCGGCCCTAGTTTCAGTTTATTGATGAAAAATAATGGCTTGGACCTAACAGTTAGGCCTATCTACTAATCAACATAATTAGGCCTAATACAAAAATAAAGATGTGTCGATGTGTGCATTTCCCATCACAGTCTTAGGAAGAAAAATATGTTATTTTACAAACTTAACATGGATACAGTGCTGTAATCTAATTGAGGAATTCTTCCATATTTCTTTCCAATCATCGTTTTTATATGAGCTTAGATGATAGATATTGGAGATTGAAAATTTTTTTATAGGCCTACATAGTTGTTTAGGGAATTTTTTTTTCACTGTTAACAAAATAATTCCTAAATTTTACAATGTTTTTCTTCTGTTTCAGATCTGGAAATGTACCTCCAGCACCTCCAGGATTAAGCCTCTACATTTATGACAAAATAACTACGGATCTTGGTACATCATTGACCCCTGACTATTTGGAACAGGTTAGGAGCTTTCGTTACAGTGTTCACAGAAATATTCAGACCATTCATTTTATTTTTCAGTCTTTAAAATCAGTGATTGTTAAATTATTGATTGGAAATCAAACAAGTAACAGCGAGATACCATTTTTTGCAGTAGGCTACATCATACACTGTCTTTTGTCACGTTTGAAGTAACATAGATTGTCTCATTCTGATCTAGACTCACCTTCTGTTCATATTCAGCACCAAGCATATGTCGATGTATTGAAGAATTTATACCTCAAATTCAATCAAACTTTGTTGACAACACAAATTAACTTTTTTGAACATCAGAACACTGTGTGTTATAGCTGAAATCAGGTGTGGTCAAGTTCCTCTCAAGTGACGTACTGTCCGATGGTGAGACGCTGTGTCCACTGATAGTCGGAGCCGCAGACGCTAGATATCCAGTTACCAACTCTGCTGAGCTCCAGCTACGCAAGATCATGGGGTTTGTGCTTTGTTCATCCAAACTGAACGATTTTATAACTATAGTTCAATTGTTAACTAGAGAATAATTTTTAAGTAACGCAAATTTTTATAGATTTTAGAACATAAAAAAAATTTTCTTCCTTAAAAATTATTAGACTATTCCTGTCAGGCTCCATATTGCCTAAGGCCGATAGATGAATAATCAAGGGTAACCAACCATATTTCACTTATATGTGAGCGTGACTTAACTAAAAGTTTTGATTTGAGATCCCAGGGCATATTTTTTTCAGATTCAAGGTTTGAAATTTCCAGATCTAGTTCATTTTGGTTTATTTTGTGGAAATCGTTAAGCTTATATTTCATTGACTTTTGGATGCTGGAGTAGACAATTCATTTTTATGGACTAGCTGTCGCTAAATTTTAATATAAAGAAAGATCATAGTTGAATGAACTAACGCACAGATTGTGTAAAAGTCAAAAATTTGATTTTCAGCCTTTGTTTTTGCTACTGAGATAGTTTAAAATATGTTATAGTGTTCTAATGAGTTATCCCATCAGTTTTGTTTGGTTTAAAAGTTGGCATACTTGTCATTAATCAGTAATTTATATCAGAACAATCAGTCAGGAATCAATTCTACTAAGTTCATTTTAATTTGAATAATACGGGAGTGGGATGTCTAGTACTATTTATATCCAATGCTAATCCTTATATATAATACGTGAAGGTGTTTTCTACGATACACTTCTCCTCCGTTAATAATGGACGGATTTTTACAAACGATGTATCAAAATTAAGTATTTTTTGTGTAGACGCCCCCTTTCACCAATTCCTGTCATAACAGTCCTCGGGCTTTGCCCCACAGGCCATCAAAATCCCAATGTATTTCATATGATGAAAAGATTTTGTTTACTTAAAACAGACAAATAATTACTATTAATTACAGCTGTTCTTAGTATACTCATGATACACACAAAAAGAGCATTCGTTTTCAGCGTGAGTGAGTTTTCAGTTTCAATAACTGGAGTGGAGTGATTGATTACATTATCTTTGATTTGACTCTTTTAAGTAATCGGAAATCATGATTTTAATTCGTTTTTAAATAACGCCTGTTATACTTTGCAATTGCTCGAATTCGAGCAACAGGTGCACTAGTGTCCTATCCTATAACTGTTGCTGCAGGAGTATAAACTGGGAGAGTGCTGCTGTATTGGCTCCACTGTACTCCGTGTATCTAGGCAGCAAGGACGGAGCTGCAGAGAACCATCGGGAGCCAGCCAGCACTCGGTTGCGACTCAAACTGCTGCCTTATCTGTGCAAGGCTCGAAAACAAGGCATACTGTGGCCGGCCAGCATCAGGGTGAGTTATAACAGCTGATGTTTCACCTATTTTGATAATTTGTAATTCAATTAGCTTACAATGCAATGCCCACGGTATTGGTTAACATTTCTTGTAAGGGAACAAAAGATTGTTCAGATTAGAATTATCATTACCCTTTGCTTTAGGTCATTAACAATCATTAGGTTACCATTTCAAAGCTAAGTAATTAGCCTATATTTGGCTAACTATCAGAAGTTTGCTGGTTTGATCCTGACAAAAGCCAGTCACTGTTTAACAGTTTAGAACTGGAACAGGCTGTCCTTAATGATTAAGCTTGTAATAAATGGTCCTGACTAAAGAAACTGTTTTTCTTACAAGTAACAAAGCTAGACATGTCATCCTGCCCCGTTCAACACCCACCTTGCATCAATATGCATTTTAAAATGCATACATAGTGTGTCACTGTCTGAGTAAATAATTTAAAGATGGGTCAACATTGCTTTTAAAGTTTAAAGTCAAAGATCACTCAAAGAAAATATAACTGCATCTTTGTCAAACAAAGCTAAACTGTAATGGTTAATCATTTGCTTCAGAATTGCTCTCTTTGTAGGATTAGTTGCTTTGCTTGTAATATTTCTAATCTATACCTGTGAATCGTCAATTGAATTCTCAAGGAACATAAATGGTTTTCAGTTTTCATCTAGAATTCAAATTAATCCGAAATCTCCCAAATTCACCTATATTATTTAATGTCTTTTAGGTGCTGTTTGACTCACTGTTTGGGGAAAACACTCACGCAAAACTCAAAGCCCAAGCTTTACAATTCTGCTCTGTCATCATACAACAGTAAGTTTGTACTAGATTATTGACCTTTAAATGTAGCCTACTACAAATATGTTTTTATCCAAAACTAGTTTGTTTAAAACATTTCATTGTGAAATTATATGATGTAAAATATAAATAAACTACAGCTTAAAACTAATAAATAACACTTTCTTATGCAAAATTTGTATTTTTTGCATAAGAACATTAATAGTGAATGGTGTAGTATATCCAATCCATATAGGTAAGTTTATAAAATAAAATAAAAAATGTTATGTATAATAACTATCAATATCAAGAGTTGTTTTTTCAGGTATCGGTATCAAGAATCGATATATTTTGGTATCCACACATCTCTAGTATTATGTTTGCAGAGTGAGTGCAGCTCAGTTGAGTGTTGTGGCCAAGGTGATATTGACATCAGGACTGATGAAGCTGATATCAGAGCCTGACACAGAGCCCTCCCTCAAGCAGCAAGCCTACCTCATCTCTGGCCAGCTGGTCAGCAAAGTGCCATCACTGGTCAAGCAGGATCTCAGTCTGTTGCAGTCACTGTTCTCAGTATTGTGTCAGGTAAGACTGCGTTCTGACACAACAAAGTGAGGCAATTAAGGGATAGTGAGGGATTGGGGGGGTTGATAAACTGCTTAGTTAAAAATGAGGATGTTTATGCATCATGGACAAATGTGTTGAATAAAACATTTCTGTCCATACAGTTAACTTATAGTTAAATAATAATTAAAGTGTGTTGCCGTCAGAACAATTGGATGTATGAAGCTTTATCTGACAACATCACAGGTAACGTAAAGGTTTACTTGTTAATTTTGATAATCCAGACAAGGCCCCACTAGAAAAAACAGGCCATGCTGCAGCGCGGGTAGCGCAACACTATGTCACAGTGGTGGATAGTTGTACTAAACTCTTACCATTAAAATCTTACAAACAGCCAGCTTGTTTATTTACATAAAACATATGGGAATGGTGATGGCAATGAATTTATCAATGAAATCCATCCACTAGTGTGACGTCATGGATCCTGCAGCATGGCCTGCTTTTTCTAGTGGGGCCTTGATCCAGAAGACAACATGACGTGATGTTTAGCTTTATGATTGTAGATTCAAAAGTTTACTAGATCTATGATGGTTTCAGTTTATGTGATCTAAAGTGGTTTGATGGTTAAAAAACTCAATTTACTAGTCTATTCATATATTTAGGTATGATTTGGAGTCTGTTGGTCCCTAATACATTTTCAGGTCGGACCAAGTTGGGAAAAAATTGAGCCAAGGCCAAGTTGAGGCGATCTTTTATTTTTGCGATTGCAGAAACCTGATCGAAGCGTGATTGAAAATTTATGATTTTTCCACAATTGAGGGTGTGTTCACAGTTTTACCAAATTCAAATTCAAATTATTTATTAACTCATAACATCTTTTGGAGTACAATGTACATAGATACTAGATAGGAGTTTTGTCAATATTTATAAAACTACCACAAGTGCGGGAGATGTTTACAATTTCACCATGACAGCAGAAAATTTTCATGATTTTACCGTGACTGCAGAAGATGTTCACAATTTTCAATAATGTTAGAGCTACTGAAACAATATTGTTTAAACACACTAATTGTAAAAAAAAAAATAAATAATAGAAAAGCCCCAGTTTTCCCTAATCTAACCACAAACCCGGTGTCCAGGAGGAAAACAATGATGTGCGTATGGCTGTGAGAGAGGCTCTGCTCACAATGGCGTCTGCATTCTCTGTAGACACAGCTGATCAACAGCTGTTACTGGCTCTGCTGACTACGCAGGTAGAGTCACCCTCCCCGGCCGCTCGTCTGGTAGCTGTCAGATATCTAGCCACTGTGTTCCCTCAGACACACGCACTCAGTAGAGTCTACCTGCTTATAGCTACTGGGGACAGGTAATGTACATGCTTTTGTGATTTTGCTTTATTTTGTACACTTTTGTTTTAAGGAATTTCCTATGTAGGGATTAAGTTAATACTCTAGGTATCAAGGTATGAACTATACTCGAAACTGATTTAGTTTTTTTTGTCCTATGTCCATTAGCGCAATTATTCAAGTTAAAATTTTCCAATATTAATTCAATTTGATGAAAAACCTATGTTTGTGTTTGTGCAAAGGAGTTTGCCAACCGGTATTATCAGGCTGTGGGATCGAGGTTTTATGGGGGGGGGGGGGGTTTTGGGGGGTTAATCAGTACCACAAAGATGATTAAGTACAATTTTCATTTTTGGAACAGTTTACTCATTTCTACAATTACCTCCAACTCATGTCACAGCCAGGAAGAGATCTCAAGTGAAGCGCTCAAGTCTCTGTATGGTGCCGGGTACAAGCTGAGTTCCGAAAGCAAAGGTGATTCGGCTGCAGAAGTCAAGTTCCCCGACTTTGTGGAGATGACGTCCGTAATGCTGGATAAAGCCAACACCAGAGAACAGAACATAAACACCAGGCTTATTGTCAAGAACCAGAAACTGGCTTTCAACTTGTCTGCTTACACTCAGGTTCGACTTTTGAACTGATTTGAATCATGATTGTAAGGTTAGATTGGTTTTGAAATGAATTTTCATGATTCTCAATTATGGATGTGACGGTTCTCCTGATTTTCCATACCACGGATACTTGGACACTGGTATCATTAGCAAGAATTGATTGTCAGAAGTCAATTTAAAGCTTTTAAAGCTTAAGTTAAACACTTGTTAATTAATAAAATAATATTGTACAATTTGAATGTATACAATTTTTCAATTATTTACTTGTGGTGCTACCATTCAAAGTGTAATTGAATACATCATACAAAGTTATTATCCGTTTGGTTGAATGTTTGAAAGTTCTTAGTGTTGCTGATGATATTATTTGTCTACCATAGATTGTCACATATCTGTCACTATGCTTGGCTGAGAAGTGTGGGATCAAAACAAATTGCCAGAGACTTCAACATCCGTTGGACTCCACTGTCCTGCTCGGAGAATACCTCAGAGAACTGCACGCCAAACAGAGACAGTTACTTCTTACCTACGTCGCGTTTGTGTTCAAACTAGTTAAAGCGGACACAGGTATGAATATTTTCAGTCTTGACATAATACAGGACATTTTTGTGTTCCACTAGGATTGTATGAAGTCAAGTAACTTTAAATCAATGTGTGTTTTCAAATGAATTAATACAACAGGTGATCTGTGGAATCTTATTGGGTGAAAATACTGAAAATAGATAGTCTTACAATAATGATCGATTTTCTATAAACTCTTTGTCTTTCTCATTCAACTTGAAGTAGTGCTTTAAACATTCATGGGATCAAGTTAATATTTTATGGTAATCTTTTAAACCTATGAGTTAATATCGTTCACTATTTTTACTAATAGCCTCAAAACAATTTAAGTTCTCAGTTGGTTTGGTAATGATATTATTAGTGAAAATAAAATAGTGAACCTTTTTAGTCAGTTAGAGGATAAAATATGATTAAACAAGACAGTCTATTGTTGAAGTGGTTTAGTAACAGTTAACATCAGCAATTTTTTTACATCACCAAGAGCATTTTAGTCAAGTAAAATTTGTTTTATGTGTTATGTTAACATCAATTGCATAAAACATTACTATTCAACTTTTTGTATGGGGCTATTTGTGGTATGTTCCCATTTAAACATTCTTTTAATGTAATATTAGAATTTATAAAACCAACACAACAGTTTTCCAACACAATGCATGTTCCAGGGGTAGTACCAGTATCTTGCCTGTTAGAGTTGGTAGGAGCAATACCAGAGCTTTTGGCCACTAACTTCACCCAGGAACTTCCTTGGTTTAAGGTACGTACTGAAACATTTGTATGCATGAGAGGGAGAGGTACTTGTAGTGATTGACCACTATCCTGAAGGTAGGGTTCAAATCCCGGAGTCACCTGGAGCCTTTAACAATGTGATAATGTTAAGACTCTGTTAAGAGTCCTCCCTAAGCTGTACAGTAGGCCAACTTGTTTAAAAGAAAAGATAGGAACAGCTTTCTATGTTAGGGAATTTCCCTATAGGGAAATAGCTATTATCGTAGGTGGCATGGTAAGACCTTTTGATTTTGATATTTCGTCCTAAGATCATTGTTGAGTTTTATGACTTTTTGTTGTGGTTTGTGTTTGTCATGTACTATAATTTTCTCTTGTTAGCTAGCTAAACTCTATCCCAAAAAAAATCCTCATCAGCCACTTGGGTTTTCTTTAAAATATAACTTTACACTTTTAGACTGTGCAACATGAAAAATGGTATTTTAATTTTACGGAGTGTTTTAACTATTTATAACCAAATGGATAAAATGAAAAATACTTTATTCCATCAAAAACTCAAAGGATATTTTTTGTGGGTAAGAATAATGTCTCATTAATTTATATCAGTCCAACTTATCATCTATTTCAGAAACTGCTGAGCGACTCCAGAGAAGACCTGAGGGACGTGGTGGCACAACTGTACGGCTGTGTGGCTGGTTTCACTGGTGCCAACGTCAGTGAGCTATCAGCTGTTCTATCAGCTGACAACAAGGACCTTGAGACAGTCCACGGTCATCTTTTGGCCACTGGCTACACTGTGGAGAGGACTGTGGTGTGTCAGGGCAATGTCAACAGTCAGCAGTACGAAACACCCGTCCGTACACTTGGTAACTGTCAGGTTCATGATTAGGCATAATTATTTTGTAATGTGTGCTCACATTTTAAGGACTTTCGTGAGAAAGGCTTACCTAAATGGGAAAGAATCCATTTTGCCACCAGCAACACAAAATTTAACACTGCACAATAGTTATTGGAATATTCACACTAACAGTAGGCCTGACAGCTGAAAATGCAGCATTTTCAACCTACTTGAATTTTGGAAACCAGGATTACTTAGACCTATGATTAAATATGAACTATGTGAATTATGTAGTTTGGGTAAAAGACTGTAAACAATAAGTAAATATTGTAAGAGATTGGAAAATATTATATTCTGAATATTAACCAAGAAGTCTAACAAAGGTTAGCTTATTCTCATTTTGTGTCGTAATGTAGTGTTTTGTGTAGATTATGTTGAAAAATGTCCACAATAATCTATAAAATAACGTAGATTTTGTTAACACAAATCTTCTGTCAAAACACAATTTTCTTTTTCAGTTTGCGCTATAGTTTTATTATACTAGCCTATCCATAACATTCTGTAATCTTAATCATATGTTTGCCAATAAATTTTAATTGAACAACTTTGTGTTGTTGCACAGTGTCTTTCTTGGACCACAGCAATGTGATGGTGGTAGGAGCTGCCTGCACGGCCCTGGCAGAGATAGCCAGAGTGTTGCCGCTGCCTCTAGAAGACACCAAGACTAACAGTCTACAGACGCCAGGGCTACAGGATGTCGTGGACAAGCTGCTTGATAACATCACATCAACCAAACTCACATCCAAGGTAATTTGACTAACTAATTGGTAACTCTGTAGTAATTGCACTTTATACAAGTTTCAGTTTAGTGTTTGACCAGGATAAAAAATTCTGAATCTCATAAGATTTGAGGATAGTTACTCCATTAAGTAAGGGACCGCTGTCGTTTCTTGATTGACTCGCAAAGGAGAAAGGAATGGTGCTTATAGAGTAGTCGTTTGCAGGTCTTCGTTTTTACAATTTAACAATTCAAGTACTTTATTTATGGCATGAACTAGTTTACAATATGATTAACCTAATTCGTTACAAGTATTTTTACAATTGACAGGATGACATCCTACATTACAATAAAGCAAACAAAAACATATTTACAATTCGCAAGGTTCAAAAGCCTAGAAATGCATAACCTACTTGAGTAACATTGAAAGATAAGTGGTGTAAAAAAGGCAGCAAACAAAACAATAAAAAAAAACTATAGGAACAAATCTGTGTGAAATTAATGAGCAAATTTGTGAAAAAAAATACAAAAATGCAACAAAGAAAAAAATTTACAGTTTACAACGTTAAGAGAAGACAACAAGAATTAGCTGTCTGATAGTTAATGCTATGACTCAATGATTTTGTGTTTTCTTTTTTCTTGTATAGAGAATACAGAAGGAGAAGAATATTTATTTGGCAAGAATGTTAAATTTAGTGGTTGATAGTGATAGTTTTCAATGTCAATGTCAAATAGTGGCAAGTCAATAGATATTTGTGTAATAATAGCTCAAAGTATGTCATTGCCACTCAAGAACAGCTGTAGATGGCTTAAGCTTCATGCCGCCATACATTTCGAGTGCGGCATGACTATTTGTGTTTTTTGTCATTACTTGAAATACAAGACTTTTCCTACCACCATAATCAACTTATAATACACACAGAATAACTTTTTAGTTGTATACAAAATGTAATAAAGGTCTGTCCTATATATTTCTTCAACAGTGAAATCAGCCAGTTTAGCGAGCAGGAATGGTCATTCCCTCTTGCAAACGTGGGCAGTAATGAGTAAAGCGGAAATGCGCTATTTGGCATATTGTTTACAGGTGTGGCAAGGTGATAATTTCCAAGCAGGTAGGAAAATAATATTGTGACTCTGTAATTTGGTGATATTTTTACCATCCGAGTCACACTAAGCAAGGATAATAAATCAAATATAATGGTAGTAAAAAAATGTTTTCAATAACCTTTCTTATGTTTCAGGTTAAGGAAAGATCATGTAGAGCGACTGGAATGCTTTGTTTATCAGACAAATTCTCTCTAAGGCAGAAGATTATAGACTTTTTCCTGGACAATGCTAAAGAGGTAAGTTTGATTAATTTTGACTTCAATAACTTGATAAGTTTTTAACTCTTTCTTAAATTTCCTTAGATATATCTTGGAATGAACAATTTTACTAAAGCTTCAACGTGAAGTCAATTTAAAAAGATTACAGTTGGAAGGCATCATATTTTAGTTGCTTTAACCATTGTTTTGAAAGGTTCATGGTTGAAGAAGAGTAGGGAAATTATATAGGAAACCCCAAACTCAACATTTCCTTACATAAATGTTGCATAACCTAAACCTTATAGTTTTTCTCTGTCCATCTTTCCTATAGAGTTTTCTTCAATTATGAACCTTTCAAAACCATGGCCTGTCTGTTCTAGATCAAGGATGTGGAAATACAACTGAGTGTAGGAGAGGCATTGGTGTGTTGTGTGCTGGGTCCTGCATCTCCTCTCAGACATGACCTGTGGACAGGAGTGAGGGCAGCAGCAGTGACTGGCTATGACCCTGAGCCTATGTGTGCAGTAGAATCTATGTTACTGTCTGTTCTAGATCAAGGATGTGGAAATACAACTGAGTGTAGGAGAGGCATTGGTGTGTTGTGTGCTGGGTCCTGCATCTCCTCTCAGACATGACCTGTGGACAGGAGTGAGGGCAGCAGCAGTGACTGGCTATGACCCTGAGCCTATGTGTGCAGTAGACTCTATGTTACTGTCTGTTCTAGATCAAGGATGTGGAGATACAACTGAGTGTAGGAGAGGCATTGGTGTGTTGTGTGCTGGGTCCTGCATCTCCTCTCAGACATGACCTGTGGACAGGAGTGAGGGCAGCAGCAGTGACTGGCTATGACCCTGAGCCTGTGTGTGCAGTAGACTCTATGTTACTGTCTGTTCTAGATCAAGGATGTGGAAATACAACTGAGTGTAGGAGAGGCATTGGTGTGTTGTGTGCTGGGTCCTGCATCTCCTCTCAGACATGACCTGTGGACAGGAGTGAGGGCAGCAGCAGTGACTGGCTATGACCCTGAGCCTGTGTGTGCAGTAGACTCTATGTTACTGTCTGTTCTAGATCAAGGATGTGGAAATACAACTGAGTGTACGAGAGGCATTGGTGTGTTGTGTGCTGGGTCCTGCATCTCCTCTCAGACATGACCTGTGGACAGGAGTGAGGGCAGCAGCAGTGACTGGCTATGACCCTGAGCCTGTGTGTGCAGTAGACTCTATGTTACTGTCTGTTCTAGATCAAGGATGTGGAGATACAACTGAGTGTAGGAGAGGCACTGGTGTGTTGTGTGCTGGGTCCTGCATCTCCTCTCAGACATGACCTGTGGACAGGAGTGAGGGCAGCAGCAGTGACTGGCTATGACCTTGAGCCTGTGTGTGCAGTAGACTCTATGTTACTGTCTGTTCTAGATCAAGGATGTGGAGATACAACTGAGTGTAGGAGAGGAACTGGTGTGTTGTGTGCTGGGTCCTGCATCTCCTCTCAGACATGACCTGTGGACAGGAGTGAGAGCAGCAGCAGTGACTGGCTATGACCCTGAGCCTGTGTGTGCAGTAGACTCTATGTTACTGTCTGTTCTAGATCAAGGATGTGGAGATACAACTGAGTGTAGGAGAGGCATTGGTGTGTTGTGTGCTGGGTCCTGCATCTCCTCTCAGACATGACCTGTGGACAGGAGTGAGGGCAGCAGCAGTGACTGGCTATGACCCTGAGCCTGTGTGTGCAGTAGACTCTATGTTACTGTCTGTTCTAGATCAAGGATGTGGAGATACAACTGAGTGTAGGAGAGGAGCTGGTGTGTTGTGTGCTGGGTCCTGCATCTCCTCTCAGACATGACCTGTGGACAGGAGTGAGGGCAGCAGCAGTGACTGGCTATGACCTTGAGCCTGTGTGTGCAGTAGACTCTATGTTACTGTCTGTTCTAGATCAAGGATGTGGAGATACAACTGAGTGTAGGAGAGGCATTGGTGTGTTGTGTGCTGGGTCCTGCATCTCCTCTCAGACATGACCTGTGGACAGGAGTGAGGGCAGCAGCAGTGACTGGCTATGACCCTGAGCCTGTGTGTGCAGTAGACTCTATGTTACTGTCTGTTCTAGATCAAGGATGTGGAAATACAACTGAGTGTAGGAGAGGCATTGGTGTGTTGTGTGCTGGGTCCTGCATCTCCTCTCAGACATGACCTGTGGACAGGAGTGAGGGCAGCAGCAGTGACTGGCTATGACCCTGAGCCTGTGTGTGCTGCTGTGCTGCAAAAGCTACTGACGGACATCCTACCCATCCCACACCCTCACGCCAGGCAGGTACGCCTATTCTTTTTGCTTTTATTTTATCACAAAAAACTTTGTTTACCAATATCGTGTTTGCATTATTAGCATACAACAAATTATTTTGTAGCCTTGTATTTTACTACTTTATTTATTCCAAAAGGTATAAAGGTTTCATTAATTTTTTTTTCAGATAGATTTTGTAATGTTTAGTAATAAACTGTTTTCTTTATATTTTTTATTAGTGGCTCTAAAAAAAGAACTAATACAGTACCTAAATTATGTTGCAATTAGTGATAGAAGTAATTGTTAAATTTGCTAACCAGCAAATTGTACAGCAGTAAACCAGCAGTAATTGTAACCAGTCTAATCTGCAAATATTTTGTCTCCTAACTTTAACCCGGTATTGGGGGTAATTAGAACACCAAACAAGCTTGGACCTTACAAGGAATTCAAATTCAAAGTGCTTTTTGTCATATTGTAAACCTTGGATTAAGAAAAGACTTGCGACTGTACATATTTCTTGCTCGCATTAATGATCTTTGTTAGGTAAAAGTACAAGGCCAGGGGGGCAACCCGTACCAGAACATTCACAAATAATAATTACTGTAATATTAGGCCTACAATATATTGTAAAATATATTGACTGGCTGGGTAGCTGTGTAGTTATGATGTTTGCTAACAATTAAAAGGCCGCTGGTTCGATCCTGAGAAAAGTCTGTAGCTTTTAGATGGTTCGAACAAAACTAGATCCGGCTGTTCCCGATCATTGGGTTTTAAATAAATTATCCTGGCTAATGAAACAGCTGATCTTTGTCAGCAACAAAGCTACACAGATCATCTCACACCATTCTACACCCATTTTTCACTTATATTTAGGTTAAAATTCGCACACACATAGGTAGCATCCCCATCTCAATGATTGATAATTGATACAATGGATCATAAAAAATAAAAAAATAATTCTAATGCATGTAGTAATAATAAAAATCTTGATTGGTTTTTGGTTTAGTTATCTTTTTCACAATCTGATCTGTTGGATCTGCTGTGTTTAGTCCTGCTGTATGTGGCTGTTGGCAATGCTGAAACATTGTGGTAACCTACAAGCAACAAAACAGCGTTTGATGGCTTTGCAATCTGGTTTTATGGACCTTCTCTCTGAAAACAATGGTGGGTCTCTTTGTTTTATTTTTTTAGATTACAATATTGAATAATTTCAGGGAGGTAAAATAATTTAACTTTTACCGGAAATAACTTATCAAAGAATTATAATCCAACCACAAACTTTAATGTAATGTTAAAGAATCAAGGTTTGGATAACAGGGATTATATTCCATCTATATGGAGCAGCTGTTGCAACTTTTGGTCAAGAATGAATCGAGGATGAATGAATAATTCTATTTATTTGAAACGTATTACCTTTTAGAACATTTGTTTTACCTTTAGTTTATGTTTTAAGTGGGCTTGTAAATAGTTCCTAAATTCCCAACTTTTAAGGAACGATTCATTTAAGCATACTTCATAATAAAATTACAACCTAACTGTCAAAACTCCACTTTCTAGAATAGTCTATCAATAATGTTTTACAATAATGTTTCTGTACAGACATAGTGCAGGATGTAGCATCCAAGGGGCTGGCACTTGTATACGAGAGTGGAGACGCCCAATCACAAGCCTCGCTTGTCAACCTTCTCGTAGATCAGCTGACTGTAGGGCGACGTACTGTGGCACAAGTCACCACAGACACTAAGCTTTTTGAGGAGGGGTCATTGGGAAAAGCACCAACTGGGTATGTAGCCAGGCAATACGTTTTGTTATTAGAACATCTTTTTTGAGTACCGGTAGGAGATGAGTTATGACCAAGCGTGCTTGTTTAGTGGTTGGAGGGCAGAACTAATTGTCTAGGTACCCCGTTTTTAGTGCAGGCCTTTATCTGACGGTCTCTGGTTTGATTCCAAGCGGAAGCGATATTGATTCTGGACCCAGATATCTTTGTCATTGGGCTGTCAAATAATTAATGGTATCCAAAGAGAAGATGGAATTGGCTTACTCTGGAACTCGCTAACCCGGTTGGGCAGTGGAACTGGCTAACTACGGAACTGTCCAACCGTCCCACTCCGGTTCCTAAAACTTCTGTTCTGGTGTCATGGTTGATCACTATAGGCTGTTAGTTGTGATAACGCTGGTACACTGATGACTGTTCCATTGCCAATTTAATCCTTAGGTCCGTCTAGAAATCAAAAAATGTCTTGTATCTTAGGCAAGGATATTTTTCCCAGGGACAACTCCTCATTTAAAGCTAAAAGTTGTGAGTTTTCTTAGTGATATTAATTTTTTTTTTTAGTTTATAGTACTTTTTAGACAGCCAAATGATAGATACTTTTTTTGTTCAGGAGAAGAGATATCTAGCTTTATTAAATATAGCCTAGCTGGATTAAATTTGGTAAAGCCTTTAACAGATTTTACAACAATTATTGTTGAGTCCTGAACATTTTGGTTCGAGCTAAAATTTTATTTATTCAGCATCTCATTTTATGATGTGTAACATATGGCTAATGAACCGTTGTGAAATGCATTTATAGAAATATTGGAAACAAATATAAATTTGTGACTATTTTCAGAGGGAATCTGTCAACATATAAGGAACTTTGCTCTCTGGCTTCAGACCTCAATCAACCTGATTTGATCTACAAGTTTATGCATCTTGCCAATCATAATGCAATCTGGAATTCAAAAAAGGTAATCTTTGCCCTGTTATTGTTTACAGGGTATAAATTTAGTGTTTAACTTATTTTTATTATTATATGACTTCATCTTGTGGTAGTATAACAAAAAAAGATTGCCTACGTTGATCTCTGTCCCAAGAATCTTACTTGTGTATGTCACCTCTGATCTGTCTCTGTATTAGAGATTACCCTCCATAAAAACTTATATAATTTTTTATTAAAAAATGTGATAGAAATATTCTATATTTCTCTTAGTACAACCTCAGAATGACTGTCTATACAATGTGTTGAATTTGTAACAAGTAAGAGTGTTGCAGGGGGCTGCGTTTGGTTTCTCATCCATCGCCAAGGCAGCCGGAGAGCAGCTAACGGCCCATCTCCCAAAGATCATCCCTCGACTGTACAGGTACCAGTTTGACCCGACACCCAAGATCCAGCAGAGCATGGCCTCCATCTGGCAAGCGCTGGTGCCTGAGACCAACAAAACGGTAAGGAGTAACAGCACTTGACAATAAGTGTGAGTATGATTTCACTGCAGAAACTAGCAACATTTTTAACTATTGGTTTTCCAAAAGCTATATTTTTGCTGTAAACGAACCTGAGCTCAATTTGAATTAGGATGTAGTGTCTAGCTCTCAGACATTTATTGTCTTTGGCAATTCGCCTAATTAGCCTTTTGACACTCGTAGAAGTCTTTAAAGCAAGAGCCTTGGCCAGTTAAATTTCACTACCACTAGTGGAATGTGGTTAGGTTTTTCTAACTGTATACTAACCTAACCTAACCAAACCAAAGTTTAATTCACTACCACTACCACTTCTACTGCTAATAATATATTGCTCTTAAAACTAGTGGTAGTGAATTAACGGAAAAGGTCTGTCATTACTGGTGTCGTAAAGACTATCATTATATGAATCTTGCGTTAACATCTATTAAACTAAACCCTTACATAATTATTCTATTTGAAAAATTAAAAATCATGATTAAGAAATCAGAAATTATCTAGAAATTGAAATTAGTTTTGTTGGTCACCATAATTAGTTATGGCAGTTGCTAAGATGCTAGTCTATCCGATATATATTGTAGAACTGACATTAAGCTACAATTAATTAATTTGTTCTATTGCAGGTTGAACTCTACCACAAAGAGATATTTGAAGATTTAATCAACAACCTAACGACTAACCAGTGGAGAGTGAGAATGTCTTGCTGTTTAGCTCTGTCAGATTTCCTTCGAGCTGGTGGAAGCAAAGTTTTTCAGGTTTGTCGTTACTTATATCAATCCTGTATTATATCCAAGTTTTACACTTTTCTCAGTAAATTTGTTTGAATTTTTTACTATATTACATTGTTTCAAAATTATCCTGATAAGAATAGGTGCAGTGTTTGCCAAAATTAAATTTACGGAAAGTAAATAAAAGAAGCGTCTTATAACTCTTAAAACATATATTTACACTTATACTGTTACTCACAAGACGGTACAAAATAAATTGTAAGTGGTGATCGATTTTGATTGGACACTCCAATCATCATCAGACCCAATAGGCGAATGACAAGAGTCTTGAATGGCGTCCCTACTTATACCCTATTGGCTACCGGAAGTACCGGCCAATACATTTTTATAAGTACAACTGGAATCGAAATTTACTTGTTCATTAATCATCTTATTTCTATTTTTTAATTTTTCTTTATAAATATACAATTCTTCCCAAACATTCATTACATATCCTTTCTTACAATTCTTTAAAATACATAGACTATCCTCCATTTTTCCTATTGAGTGGCCATTTTGTAATAGGTGTTGTGCGACATTTGATCTTTCTGGTTTGTTGTTCCTCCACGCATATATGTGGTTTTTGAAATTTAAATTGAATTTAAAAGGAGATCCCAACAGTTGTTACAAATTGTTTGGATAACTTTTGGGAACCATTGTATGTGGGCTTCCTAACTTTTTTTAAGATGTAGGCTGAATGATTTATGCCACCTCTTATATATTAAAAGAATTTGGTTTTTCTTTTCCGAGTTCGTTTGGCTCTTCTACCCGACCGATTTTCATCTTTGAGGTCTCAAATTGAAGGTTAACACGCACAGATTTCACATCAAGCATCGACATATATTTAGCCACTATATTACTCAAACAAAAAACATAAATTTGATTTATTTTCAAATTCTTTATATTTTGACTTAATATCAATATTCATTTCAACGCTGCCCAGCAGCATGCTCTGGGGAGCGAGCTAGTCTAGTGGTTAGAGCGCGGGACTTCGGTGCCTGAGGTCCCAGGTTCAAATCCCACCAAATCACCAATGGATTTTATCTAAGTGATAATGCCGCAATCCCTAGGTCTAGCCTGAAGTAATGTGAAAAACAATCCCGGGCTCGTTCCTAGCGTCCTAGGACAAAAAAAAATGGGTCCTCTAGTATTATTTAAAATGTTTTCTGTTATGACTGGTTTAACTTAAGTCCATCACTATTACCAATTTAAATGTGGAAGCTATGGTATTTTTATATTTTACAACAACAACGGACTAGTATTGTAAGAGACTCGCAGTTATCCGTAAACAAAGTACAATCAATGCTAATTTGTTATGTTTGACGGTTATGACAGGATTGTGTGGACATGATGCCCAAGTTGTGGAGTCAGTTGTTCAGAGTGATGGATGACGTACATGAAGGGACCAGACAAGCTGCCACCTCCACCATGCGAGTCTTTTCAAAGGTAGGTCTCATTGTTGTTTATTGTCAATGCGATTTAGGATAAATGCAGACAATTTCCATTACCCATTATTAAAATAGAAAAACTATTCCCAATTCATTGTTTGTTGAGCTATTTGTTACGTTCATAGTATACATGTCAAATTTTCTGACTTGTTCCTTTAGTGGATACCCCGGTTTCAGCTTAAATTGAGCTATAATCATATCCTTCAGAGTTTAAAAACTGATTTTGTGTTATGTTATGTGTTTATTGTGTGTGAATCATTTGATAGAAGCCAAAACATAATCCATTTAAATTAAAAACTAAGACCAAACAAATTAGAAGCAACAGTTAGCCTAATATAAGTGTTTGATATCAATTCAAGAAAAAAATTGCAGGTGTCTCATGTATTAAACTGTATATAAATTAAATTACGATGTAAGCTGTTTTGCTGTTGACAGCTGAGTGTCCAATGGTGTGACCCGGACAAGGGCAAGACAGGGGAAGCTATGGTGAAGACCATCCTGCCTACTATACTGGAAACAGGCATCACTCACCAGGTGGCTGAAATACGAGCTGTCAGGTTAGTACACAATTGGGGTGCAAAAAATAAAGCATGTTTTCAACATTTTCTTGTAGAATGTTGATTTGTCAAGTTTAGTTAATTTCGTTTTCATATATGGCCAATGAATGTATATTCCTCACCATAGCCAAAGTAGGATAAAATGTATACTGTGATCAATACCTGATTTTATTCAATCCCTCTGTACCTGCAGTGTACAGACAGTCTCCCAGTTGGTGAAGAGCGGAGGTCCTCTGCTGCGGCCCCACCTGCCCCGCCTCATCCCCGCACTGCTAGAGGCTGCGGGGGAGCTGGAGCCATTGTCACTCAACTACCTGAGTGTAAGACTAGCCGGGGACCAGCGCAGTCAAGACATTGTAGACACCATGAGAGCATCTGCTGCCAAGAGTCATCACACCACTGAGACTGTGTCCAAGGTAATGCGAACCTCTGTGTTAAACTTATATTTTATTTTATTTATTGTGTTTATCCACAATATCGGTGTTTTTAGGTTTTTTGTAAGGGAAATTCAGATACAATAGGGAAGCATCAATTAGATAGATAGTCCAGTGACAAATCTTGGGTCTAGAATTGACCTCACTTGAAATCAAACTAACAACTTTCCAATTTTAAGGTTTGGCACCATAACCACTATAAAGCTCTAAAACCCATTCAGCAATTTGAAAATAGATAGCTTTGAATTAACACAAATAAACTATAATGATTTAAAAACATTGGAAGCAACAAAAGATTTCTCCATCAATGGAATGGTTTTTTTCTAAAGAACTCAAACTGATTTTCACAGCTTTCACACTAAAAACTATTACAAACTGAATTTGTGACTTTGCCTATGACAGTGTATCCAGTACATTGAGCCTGAGACCTGCGCCGCCATGTTGCCTCGTCTACAGGAGCTGCTGTGTGGCTCGATAGGTCTCGGCACTCGTGTGGCTACAGCTCACTTCGTGGTCCTGCTCTCCCATCATCTCACCATTGAGCAGTTTCAGCCTTACGTCGGTATGTATTTAGAACATTACACCAAACAAAACAGTAACACAACTTGTCCCCTCGCAGATTCTGCTCTTTAAAATAGCTTTGTTTAGTTTATTTATTTACCAAAACCAGTTAGCATTCACCTTTTTACCTAACAAATATATTAGTCTTTTCTTTGTTTGATGGGTATTTCATAAGAAACCTTAAAAGAGGGTCCAGAAGTTAAATATTTAAAAAATAATCACTTTTATAAAAGAAAATATTTATACAAACTTGTTGACACTAGGTACTAACTACTAATTTCACTAGTTATTAGAGAACTAGTAGAAAAAATCATTCACAATTATGTTGGGTGTTGTGTAGGTTATTTTAGGGGCTTTAGAGATTTATTTTAATTTTAAAATCTGTTCAAAAGTAAAATGTTTTGTAATGAATTTCTTGAATTTCAGAATATTCTAAATCACCACTGTCGTGTGCAAGTTATTCACTTACAAAGGGTGTACATTCATTTGTTGTTGACTCATCTTCTTTTTACTTTTGCCAGGTAAACTACTGTCCTCCTTGTTCTCTGGGTTGACGGATCGTAATTCAACCATCAGACGAACCTACGCCAACGCCATTGGACAGCTAGTGCGGTCAGCCAAGTCATCCAGTGTTGACAGACTGCTGGAGAAACTCAAGACCAACTATCTTGAGAAAGAAGGTCAGAGGTGTATTTTAAGTGCAAATGACGATAAACTTGGTAGTTTGACTGTGTATTGTTTTAAGCCACTTTTTAAGTACTTTAGTGTACAGTAAATTTGCTAGTCCGACCCATTAATTGGATTAGTCTTCTGAAATATAAAACTAATAAATATAGGATGGAGAGGACACAGCTAACTCACCTGATGAAAGGTTGCAGACGAGTCAAAGAACAAAAAAAAGATCAAAAAATAAAATCTCACACATAATATACTTAATATTTCGCCTCTTTCAGAGGCTTCTTCAGAAGTAGGCCTAGATGGTAGTTGTTAAGTATATTATGTGTGTGATTTTATGTGTTCTTTGACTCGTCTGCAACCTTTCATCAGGTGAGTTAGCTGTGTCCTCTCCATCCTATATTTATTAGTTTAATCCAAGCTAAATGCTTTTTCCTAAAAACATCTTCTGAAATATAAACGTTCTTTTAATTTCTCCTGCAAATTTGGCTATTTCTATAGCTAGGTATTTAATAATTTTACTGCTTAAGTAAAAAATAGGCTATGCTTTTAATTTTTTTTCATGAAAAGTTTTTTTTACAAAAACTGACTTAGGGACACTTGGCCCACCATACTAGGAGACTTGGCTCATACTATTGAACTAAAACACATAGTGTGTTTTGGAGTTAATTGTCATGTTTTTTAATGTGTTTCAATATTTAATCAATATTTTTTAGTACTTTTCATTGGATTTATTAAATATCCAATCAGGCAAATGGGAATCCATTTAGTTTGCAGGTTTGCTGTGGTGGGGGTATTGTCTTTAAAAAAATAGTCCAGGACTGGAAACGTGAATTTTAATATAATTATTCTTATTCTCTCTTTTACTGGAATCAGCTTTTCTCGTGAGGGGCAAGCTCATTGACGGTGGATTTGCGATAAGCAGCTTGTTCTAATTAACTTTTTTTTCAGATGAATCGATGCGAACAGCTGTTGGACTAACTTTACAAGCCATGGCCAAGCACAACCAAGACGCCATCAAAGCTAGGGCCGATCTGGTTATACCCTTGGTATTTTTTGCCATGCACACATCTAAAAACAAGGAAGGTGAGTGGCAATTATGTTACTAAGACTATTTATATGAGTGCATTAATTTTATTCCTAATAAGAAACTGTGCATCCTTGATTGTATGAATGTTATTTTGGCTATCTTTAAAATTTTTCCAACATTCTCGCTCATCACTCATGAAGCCTTACACTCAGCAGATTCTCTGATTAGTTTCTGCTGCACGATTCCCATCTGCTTGCAGAAAACCTATAACACTAACACTTTGCCGTTAGCTTTTAGTGGGAGAGTCAGTAATATTGTTGCACCCTTTTAGAGATGTAGCAAATGGAGACAGATTGCTTGAGTTCTGCTGTGTGACTTGCAGGAGTTGGCCCATTGCCTATCATTTCTGACACTTGGCTAATGTCTATCGGATGTTGAAAAATTTACTGTTGTAATAAACTTCAGATGCTGTGACAGTTCATAAAATCTCTGCAAACATATTATCGTATAGGCTACAACAATAATTTTTTTTTTTTAGTTAGTACAATTGTAGGATGACCAGCATTCCATCAAAATAAAATGTAATGACACTTCCAGGTTTTTCAGGTTAAGAATTCAAATTTCCAAGCCAATTAACTTGCTACTCAAACAAGTATAAAATTTACTTATTTTTACCTTCCTACTAGTACATTAAAACTCCTTTTAAGGACATGAATAATTTTTTTAGAGCAAAAGTACCTAGTTTAGATATTCAAAAAAATTCAAAAAACTTGTTGGTGTTGTTAAACTCCTGACCAGAGATAAATCCAGTTGTAAATTCAGAATGATTCAATATAATCCATTACTAAAAAAAAAAAACTAAAACTATCCTGTACTTCTAATGCACAGACCCAGTGAGTGTGACCAGCTGGGACCTGTGGCAGGATGTGTGGCATGAGGTCAGTCCAGGTATGGAGGCAGCTCTCACCAGACATCTGGACCTGGTACTGGTGCTGCTGTCATCTGTCATGAAGTCACCGTCATGGCATGTAAAGGCTCAGGTCAGTAGTATAGTAACTGTGGCAGGATGTGTGGCATGAGGTCAGTCCAGGTATGGAGGCAGCTCTCACCAGACACCTGGACCTGGTACTGGCTCTGCTGTCATCTGTCATGAAGTCACCGTCATGGCATGTAAAGGCTCAGGTTAGTAGTATAGTAACTGTGGCAGGATGTGTGGCATGAGGTCAGTCCAGGTATGGAGGCAGCTCTCACCAGACACCTGGACCTGGTACTGGCTCTGCTGTCATCTGTCATGAAGTCACCGTCATGGCATGTAAAGGCTCAGGTCAGTAGTATAGTAACTGTGGCAGGATGTGTGGCATGAGGTCAGTCCAGGTATGGAGGCAGCTCTCACCAGACACCTGGACCTGGTACTGGCTCTGCTGTCATCTGTCATGAAGTCACCGTCATGGCATGTAAAGGCTCAGGTCAGTAGTATAGTAACTGTGGCAGGATGTGTGGCATGAGGTCAGTCCAGGTATGGAGGCAGCTCTCACCAGACACCTGGACCTGGTACTGGCTCTGCTGTCATCTGTCATGAAGTCACCGTCATGGCATGTAAAGGCTCAGGTCAGTAGTATAGTAACTGTGGCAGGATGTGTGGCATGAGGTCAGTCCAGGTATGGAGGCAGCTCTCGCCAGACACCTGGACCTGGTACTGGCTCTGCTGTTATCCGTCATGAAGTCACCGTCATGGCATGTAAAGGCTCAGGTTAGTAGTATAGTAACTGTGGCAGGATGTGTGGCATGAGGTCAGTCCAGGTATGGAGGCAGCTCTCACCAGACACCTGGACCTGGTACTGGCTCTGCTGTCATCTGTCATGAAGTCACCGTCATGGCATGTTAAGGCTCAGGTCAGTAGTATATAACCAGAGTTGATCAAAACCTTGTAATTAAGTAATGTTCATGTGGATATAAAAAGTCCGAACAAAGACTGCTGCCAAGTAACTGTGTTGTGTTTTTGTTTTAGCGAATTTCCCATATAGGGAATAAGCTATTACCGTAGTACTCATGGTAAGACCTGGACGCGGGACCGATTTTTTTTTTCGTTTTAAGGTCCCTAGAGGCCAAAAACACCATCCGTTCAAATTCATATATATATATATTTATATATTTATATATTTATATATATATATATATATATATATGTGTGTCCGTCAGCACGATAACTCGAACAAAAATGATCCGATTTTGATGAAATTTGGTACAAACGTGTAAACCTACGTTTATTTGAACGAGTTCGCGATCCAGCATGATCGGACCATGGGAACGGGTGTTTACGGGGGGTTTTATGGGGTAAAAATAGGTTTTTCCCATTTTTGACCCAAAAAACATAAAATTTAGCAATTTATTTCCAAACCATTTTGTAGAGCTTAAAAAAACAAATAATTTAGTATATTGAAGCGTTATTATGCGCCTAATGGTTACTGAGAAAATTCCAAAAAATTGTAAATTTAAAATTCCCATGTTATTCTTATGGAGAATAAGTAAACTGTTGTAGTTTGCTTGTTTATGAACATATTTTGATCAAATTTGGAAAATGTTTTTATTTCTTACTAACTATTAACATTTTACAAAAAAAAACAGTTTTACCCTCCCTGATGCAGCACACCTAAGTACTTGTTAAACTAATTATATTTAAATCGGGAATAAATGTTATATTTTTAAGTAGACATTTCAGTGTAAAAGCAATCAGTCAAATGGAAATTCGCTTAGTCTGCAGGTTTGCTGCGGCGGGGGTATTTTTTCTATCGCTACTAGAGACAGTTTGTATGTGCAGTAATCTAATCTAACATGTAACATTGCAGGCTGCAAGGTCTATAGAGACAGTGGCCAGCAAGGTGGGAGCTACACTGGAGACAGACAAGAGAGATCAGCTGGTAGAGATGTTGGTGTCTGGACTGGCAGGACGCACCTGGGACGGCAAGGAACAACTGCTGACAGCGCTCAGCTCTCTCTGCAAACACTCCAAGTCAGTCTAGACACTTTTTGACACAAACAAAATTGATTTTTATTTATTAGAAAACTTGCTTCTTATGAGTGCTCAGTAAAAAATATGTAGTTTGATTTCTTCAAAGTAATGGGAAATGTAATATTTCCAAGATATTGAGAAATATAAACAAGACAAAATAGTAGCTAATTTTGATTCCATAGCTTTTAAAATGAGCTTTCATTGTTTGCATCGCTAATTTTAAAATTGCAAATTGACTCAACATTTTGTCATCTGTCCAGGAACCTGAAGGATTCTCCAAGCGCAGTAACCATTGTTGATGCTCTACTAAGGGAGTGTGGTAAAGAGAAGATATCCTACAAGTCCTGTGCTTTGACAGCGCTAGGAGAGGCTCTGGAAGCCTTGGAAGTGGACCGGTTCCCTCAAGTTTACACTATTGTTCAAGACATTCTCACTAAGGTAAAACACTACACTCACATTTAGAGGAGTTCTAGAGGGCGTGATTGTGTACAGATTTACTCTTATGTTAGTTACAAGTGTCATTCGTGCTAATTTTTTTTTTTTTTTTTTTATTTAGGATCAATCTTTAAAGTATTAAATTGTAAAAAACTTGTATGAATTGTACAGGATGTAAAAAAAAAAAACAGGTTTATAGTTCGGCCGCTTAGAAAACGACCTGCGCGCTAATGCTAAACCAATGCTGGGGGAGGTCGCTTTCTAAGCGGCCGAACTATAGTACTATAGTTCATTGTTATAAATTAAATTTTAGTAGTCTTGATTATCTGACCTACTGTGTTATTTGACTTCTGTGGACAATTGCTGTGTTATAAATAGACACAGAAACATCAAATACCAAAGTTTTAATTCCACAGAACCCAAATTTTTAAATAGTATCATAGTAACTTGCATTTAACGTGTGGGGCTTTTTTTTTTTTTTACTTGAACACTGCAGAACTTTACAATAATTTTAATAAAACTTAGTAATTTAGTTTTGAAGTATAAAATATTGATTAAAAGTATAATTGGTTGTTTGAATAGTATTTGTAATTATTTTTCTAGGAGTTGGACAATGAAGAAAATGAAAAGCAAGAGGAAGCCAGTAAAAAAAGAGAAGAACTGCTTGTATTGCGTGAATCTGCTTTTATAACATTAGGAAAAGCTTGGCCAAAAAATCAAAAAACACAAGGTAAATTAAGGAAAATTATCTTCTTATTATTATTATTATTTTTTTTTTTTTTACTTGGAAACAAGTTTATTTCTATATTTTAGATGGATTTTGATTTAAGGATGTTATGTTATAGCCAAGGGTATTATTTTGCTTAGAACTTTCTATATCATCTAAAAAGTAGAACATTGTAGACATTGTGTATTTTTATTCTTATCAATTCTTAGTGGATTACTAAAAGATGTGTATACATACAAATGACACTACTATTTAATTTTTAGTTTACTAAATCAACTAAAAATTAAAGCTGAGTTAGGTAAAGGTTTTGTCCAGAAAGTAAAATGTTTCTGTATGTCACAACACTCACAACCATCAAAAACCTGATTGTATTGATGTCCAAAATTGCTTTTATTGGAAGGGTCTCATTCTCAATAATTAGTGATTGCTACTCCCAATATCATGATAGTACTGCTATCCGAAACACTAACAATTAAATGTGAACTGGCTGTTTTTCCACTATATTATAATAATTATATATGGGCCCTTCTTCCGGTAACCACCACAATAGTATAAGATGCGTAAAATAATTTTGGTCAACCCTTAGTCAGTACCCTTAGTCAGTAGAACCCATCATATCCGACCTAAAAATTAACAGCGTCCTCCGGATATCCGACCATCTACTTATTTCCTGTCTAGGGTAATAATGCTGAGCGTGATCTATTAACAGAAAGGAAGATCGCGGATGTTGCCGTAATGGCGGCAGACAATCACTACTGTCGCCGTTAAAGGGTGTGCCGTCTTGCGGGAGACGATAACCGAATTTGCGAAGTTACGCTCACGGGTGTTGTTGCAGTCGCCGGAGACGTTACTTAAGTCTCGGAGACTACAATTATGCTCACGGGTGTTTGCTGTGGTCGTGGGAGACGATTACCGATGTCACGGATACAGATATCACGGCTCCTCCAGATATCCGACCATGGCCCGGTCCCAGCATGGTTTAGTGATCCACTTTTAGTGATTGGAAAACTATATTAAGGTTTTCTTAACAAGTCCATATACTTGCCATGAACTTTTTTGGCTGCAGCTCGGATAACTTTCTCATCGGTTGTCCCTGCCACTCGGGATACCAGCAGCACTGGCCAAATACCTTAACTTTTTCCCCAAAAATATTGGTTGTTTTTTATGCTGAGTGGTGATACCTTATGAGTGTTTTTGATACTAATATTATTCCGAGCTGGTGAAGAGAATCTTCCATAATGGCTGCCAAGCGAATGAAGACTGCTGATTAAAAAATCAGGCTGTTCCTGTTAGACAACCAGCCGCAAATGAGTTACAAACAACATCGTGCAATTTTTTTATCAGTTAATAATTTTCTGTGGAATGTTTTCCCACAGCTGAGTTCCGAGAGCCAGTGGTGTCTCAGTGCGTCTCCTGCTTAGAGAACAACACTCGTTCAGTTCAAGTCAAGATCATGGCGGCCATGTATAGCTTCTGTGAGAAACTCGTCTTCTGGGACCTGGTGACCCCCTCTAGCCAAGACAAGCAGGCTCTGCACTCTATTGTAGAGAAGATTGCGCCTGCTTTGAAATACGCTCTTGGTAGGTTTGAGAAGAGCGAGCTTACTGTTGTTTAGGATTTTTTATTTAAAGTTGCTTTACCCATGCATTGTAACCGTAAGAGAAAGTAGAAGGGAATCATGTAGGTAGTATTTTATAAGTATTGTACCATAACCATAAGTATAACCATAAGTATAAGATTGTCACAACAGATACTGTAGACAAGACAACACTCCTTTTTCAAAGTTCTCTTTGTCTAATTCAATCAACTGTATGGCAGAGTAAAATCAATAACTTATTGAATTAGTTTACATTATTTTCTGCCTAATGAGGACAACATTACATACATTAGTGATTATAAATACCCCCGCCGCAGCAAACCTGCCGACTAAGCGAATTTCCATTTGTCTGAATTGATTTCCAGTTAAATATATTTTAATAACATTAGGTTTAACGAGTACCTAGGTTTGCTGCTACAAGGAAACTAATAAAGTGTGTTTTTGAGTAAAATATTGATAGCTTAGTACAAAATAAATAAATTTGTTAAGTTTGATCAAAATATATCCATAAACAAGCAAACTACAACATTTGACAATATTCTCCATAAGAATAACATGGGAATTTTAAATTTACAATTTTTTTAATTTTCTCCGTTACTAATAATCGAACAAAAATACTTTTGTATACTAAATTATTTTTTTTTTTAAGCTCTTTAAAAAGGTCTAAAGAGAAATCGGGAAATTTTGTGTTTTGAGGGTCAAAAGTGAGAAAAACCAATTTTTACCCCATAAAACCCCCCGTAAAGCCCCGTTCCCATGGTCCGATCTTGCTGGTTCGCGAACTCATTCAAGTTTATCCCGCTTTACACCTTTAAACCAAATTTCATCAAAATCGGACAAAAATTACTCAAGTTATCGCGTTCACGGACGTATATATATATATATATATATACATATATAAAAATTTGAACGAATGGTGTTTTTGGCCTCTGGGGACATCAAAATGAAAAAGTAAATCGGTCCCGGGTCTAGGTCTTACCGTGCCACCTACGGTAATAGCTACTTCCCTATAGGGAAATTCGCTAAAAATCAACTGTTAACTTAATTTCTCTCTGGAGTTGAATTCAATCAGATGTGCGGCAAAATAAAATTTACAACTTTGTCAAAATGTAATCAGGTAATTGTAAAATGTGCATTTTATGTTCTTTTCCCTTCTTTTTGTCATCTAGTCCTATCTGAAAACCACCTTGAAGCTTAGGGCTGTCCATGGACCTAGCTCTAGGGAATTAAAGGACATGAAAAGACGTGTATGTTGACTGGGGTCATGATCTACCTTTGTGTGAAATTTCAGTCCAGTCGACTCCGTATTTTTTGTATACGCCCTGACCAGTACTTTTATTCTTTATAAAATATTATTCATGTCAATGTTATTATTTATTACTATGATTATTATGTTATTACCGTATTTGATTATTTTTCATCCAAACCATTCCATCTGATAATTGTGAAATAAATCCCATAGAAATCCCCCCCTAATTATTGAAAGTTAGCATTTTAGCTTACAAGAGTTATGTGATTAATTAGTTTTCATGGGAGCAGTAAAAATTAGTAAGTAAATAAAAGTATTTACACATTTTGATTTGGTTTAAGTTTAAATTGATTGATTCTCTAACCAACTATTAATGTTAACAAATAATTTTGATCTGTTTTTTCTATGAATGAAAACGGCCCAATTATTAACTCGGAATTACTTAAAATAATTACATCAAGAACAACACACTGTAATATATCCAAAACTCAAAAGATTATTTTTTCATCTATTTTTTCAATAGTATTCTTTACATCATCTGTTTTAACTTTACTACAAATTAATTTATTATTGTTAGTATTTACTTTCTGTACCAGTTTAAACACGGGTTGCCGGAAGACTGCCCCCGAACAACTACCCTCCCAATCAGGTTTCTACGTCATGTTGACGTCAGAGATCGGGGGGGCAGTTTTCCAGTCACGGACACTCAAATTTAGTTGTCAACAGTTCTAAAGTAACCTAACCTAACCAACCAAACTTGCTGTAACATGTCAAAATTCTGTTTAATATTCCCCACATGTCTTTTCTGCTATCCAACGGAATTACTCGAATTAACATTACAGTTACATAGCATAATTTTGCTAGGGGTTAGTATTCCAGTCGCAGACACGGCTTCCATATTGGTTAGTTGGCAGATTTTGTGAAGTCACGTTTCACCTGGGGGGGGGTTTTCCAGGGGATAGTATTCCGCATCCCCTTAAACACAGCCTGACAATAGAAACCTAGTTTCTGAAAGCGATTGTGAATAAAACAATTTATTATATATCCTATTGGCCATTGGCCTTTTCGAACATTTAAATTTAGTTGAGTTCCTAAGAGATTTTGGTACTAATTAGCCTCCCATAAGAAATGTACAGGGAAGAAGTTGCTTTTGTGCATAACTCAAAATATACCTCAGATAAATAAATGCCGATGTTTGATGGCAAATCTGTTTGTGCACACCTTAAGACCAAAATTATAAAAATCGGTCTTGCAAACCGACTTGGAAAAGAAAACCAATATTTTGATTATGCCTATTTATTTAGATTATTAGTTTTGCTATTTTGTTACAGGTATTTCAAAACATACACAACTAAGAAAAGAAGCTCTCAATGTTCTCTTCTTGCTTGCCAAAAACTGCAAAAGTGAGTAAAGAATTTCTATTCAATTGTAGAAAAAGCTTTTCTGATTTACAAGCTTTTCCAAGTATTGATTTGTATTGTGAACAACAATTCAGAAATCTCTTTTCTTTTGACCTAACATATTGTTAAGCACAGCTTTTTATTTTACCTTTTGGAGAACGTTTTAAGGCATTAGTTGCAAGAATATTTTTCTCCTTAATGTAGAAGCTCTATTAAATAAGAAGCTATGGAACAAACTTAAAACTAACAAATAAGTTAACAAATTTAAAGCTATGGAAGTTCAAAATATAGGTTTAATTCTATATACAGTGTGTCCCGTAACTCTATACCAATATTTTAGGGCATTGTTCCTGAGTAAGAAACATATCTAAATAAATATCATATTTAATTGTCTTGAAGTCCTTAGTTAACTCACATAGCCACAATTTTATTATTTTCACTTTTTTTTAAAGTAAAAGATACAAAATTGAAACTTTGCACAAACATTTATGACAGCTAGGCAAAGCTAGACAAAAATTATGAAAATTTTTCAAATTCATAAAACAAAATGGCGACTATTTAAAATATTTTTTATTAAATAATTCAAAAACCGTTGATTTTACAAGAGTTTTAAATGGCCGCAATTCGTCATAATTTTGTTGTAGCTTTGTCTAGTTGTCACAAATATTTTTGCAAAGTTGCAATGTTTTTGTAGATTTAACAGCCGCCTACGATACCGTAAACCATCGAAGACTCTTGGAAAAAGTGTACAGCATTACCAAAGACTATCAGCTGACTTCAATGATAGGCACTTTTCTTCATAACAGGCGGTTTGTTATGTCCCTTCAAGGCAAGAAAAGTAGATGGAGGAATCAAAGAAATGGATTGCCTCAGGGTAGCGTCTTAAGGCCTTTTCACACCGGCGTACTGGACGTACTGTACGTACAGTTCGTACAGTACGTACTGTACGCGGTCCTTTCACATCGCACAGAAACTTTCAAAACGTACATTTGTTCGTTTGCAGTCAGACAAGTAACACTGGCTGAGCACGTGGTTTGGAAGTGTTCACTGCGCATGCGCGAGCCCATGTACGCCACGTACGTTTTAGAAAAATCGCTCTCCGAGCGATTCACACAAAACCATCGCGTACGTACTGGACGTACAGTACGTTATGTACGCGCGGTGTGAACGAACTCATATGATAACATGGGCAGCGATTTGTTGAAAAAAAAAAACGTACCAAACGTACAGTACGTACAGTACGCCGGTGTGAAAAGGCCTTTAGCCCCAGCTCTTTATAACATACAGTGTGGTAGAAAAGTCCCGGAACGGTTAAATATTTCAAAAAAATAATGCAGATAGAGCTAAATGACTTGGTAGAAAGTTACAGGGCATAAAACTCTATTTTAACACATATTCAGTGATTCAATAACTCTTCAGGGGGACGTCCCAGAAGAAAATCTTAAATGGAAGCATAGGTCAATATGCACATCAAATTAAAGGTCTTTTTTAGTAGAATACAATGCCGCAAACCGCACTTCAAAAGGTTGATCCTGCGCAAAATGACAGTTGTTCAAAGATTCATTTAATTTACATTGCTATTATACGCTTTCACCACAGCCCTAGGAATTGGAAGAAAATTGTTAACGTAAGAATAGATCGATATGCACATCAAATTAAAGGTCTTCACTTTTAGATTACGATGCCGTAAATTCAAGCTCAAAAGAATGCCTGAGTAAAAAATGGCAGTCGTTCAAAGATTCAAAATGGCGGATTCAAGAAATCTTTGAACATCTGCCATTTTGCGCAGGATTAACCTTTTGAAGTGCGGTTTGCGGCATTGTATTCTACTAAAAAAGGCCTTTAATTTGATGTGCATATTGACCTATGCTTCCATTTAAGATTTTCTTCCGACTCCTTCTGGGCCGTCCCCCTGAAGAATTATTGGATGACTGAATAGTGAATATGTGTTAAAATATAGTTTTATGCCCTGTAACTTTGTACCAAGTCATTTAGCTCTATCTGCATTATTTTTTAAAATATTTAACCGTTCCGGGACTTTTCTACCACACTGTATATACTAACGACCAACCGTTACCAAACGCTATTATCTTTATCATTTTACTATATTACAATCCAGGGTCTTTATTTAACTTTGTAATGAGGATGGGTAAATTAAATTTATTTTTTCTGGTTTTCCACAAAGTTTGTTTAGTTGAGTTAATGGAATCAATGTTTAGTTTACCAAGCACAATCCTTGACATGGTGTTTTCCTATCAAAATCTAAATCTGTGACTTTTTGATTGATAACTTGACAAGTTAATCTGTTGAAGACTCATTCAAATCATCTCTTATTTGCTCGTTGCTCACTAATGATTGACTTTTTCAGAACTGAACGAGACATCAGAGCTTATGATTTTAGAAGCAGTATTCAATGAACCACTGGAAGAATTAAACAAAGACAGCAGCCCCGAGATAAAATCACGTGTGGTTGACATGAAGGATTTTTTTAGTGGTGTGAAGAAAGACTGAATAGTTTTTGTTTTATGTACATAAAATATTGTACTTTTGAGACATTTATTTAAACTTTGTATTTTTAGATCTTTATTGATTTGTACATTAACAAGTAAATAAAGTAATTTATTCAGTTCTCTTGTGTTCATTCCTTGCTTTATTGTCAATGGTTTTGCTACCCAAAAAGACCCCTGGTGCTGGAAAAAACATAATTATTCCATTTTGTAACTACGGATTATTAAAATTGTATTATTATTTTTTGTAAATCAGTTGTAATTATGGTAATACTTAAAATAAAAGGTGTGAGCAGATGAAAAAATAAACACTAATTTTAGTATTTAATAAACAAAAAACAAAATACCACTACAGAATTTCTATCTGGTTAAAATTACAAAAAGAAAACAAGAACTAAAGTGTGATAAAATATTTAAAAGCTATAAGATAAAATATACAATGCTAAAATGTATTGATCACAAAACTTGTTCCAAAACAATATGTGACAAATATGAGAATAAACTATAGATCATCAGTTAATAGTGTCTAGGGCAAAATATGCAATTAAAATATTGGAAAGGAATCCTTCAAATAATTCACAGAATAAATATGTTTAATATAATCCATCAATCAGAAAGACAAATATACAAGTTACATTTCAATAAACTAAGTTACAGTTATGAAGTTATGTATAATACAGTCATTGTTATCATGATTATGCATTTTATCATAATTGTAGTTCAATACAACAAGTGCAGCGGGTTTCAACAAAGCCAAGCTTTCGAAAATAAAGTCTGAATTTGTATACTGTAAAAAGCTGAAACCATGTAAAATTTTAACTTTCAAAGTAATCAACAAAGGATCATGTAGGCAACCACTACAAGATTTATATGATAAAATTATATAAAAATATATTACAATTATGCAGTTTTAAATAAATTATTACAATTTGTATCTATACATATTTTATGATCTGTGTGTAGATAGGAATATGGAAAAATAAGCACATTAGGTTGTCCATCAGTATTTGCAATAAAAACAGTCACCCTTCTTGGCCAAAGTCGTCCTGGAACTTTCTAAGCTTTGCCATGTCGTCGTCGTTGACAGTTGGTTTGGAGGTGGCTAGCGACCTCAGCATGTCACTCTGAAAAACATTTTATATACATTATTGGAAGAACACTGGAGAAAAGAATAAAGTTAGATGGATTACTTTTCATAATGTACGTTTGACGAGTTAATACAGGGTGTTTTTTTTAACGCTTAACCCAAATTACCAAATTAGTTTCGTCATAAAATGCGTCTTACAGTACTTTTAATTTAGGATGCGCGTTAAAAAAACACTCCGTAGGTAAAAAGTGGTTAGAGTAGCAAGTGATTAAGCAGTAGCTTAAAATTCTGTTAGGTCATAATTTTAAATCCCTCAAATACGAGGCTTCTGTCCCGACAGACAAGATTCGTTTACTTAATCTACAACTAATTCTAGCCAGTCGGCATCGATACAATGTCCAGTATCTTTGTAGTAGCCATTAGCAATGGTAATTAAAAAACAATCCCACATCATCTGAATTGTTTAAAAGTTTTTTGATTCAAATGTTTTAAGAGAAAAAGTGTGTAGATGCAAAACATTGGACTTGTGTATTGGAAAGAGTTTGGGGAAGGTTTTTATTTGCACGAGGTCCCCCCATCACTTTCAAACGATACAGCCACCATAATAACGTTATCTTGCTAACAGATCAGCCAGTGAATGTTTGTGAGGTAAGGGGTATTTTAAGACTACGGCCCCCATGTATTAGATAACCATATTATCCGTTGTGGTTGCCACATTACTAACCATAGTGACTGGAGGTTCGTACAGCTTGTCGCCTGGCACCTCCATCCATGTCATCTCTATTGCCCCTGGACTACCAGGAGAGCAAGGAGTCAACAGGTCGTCCACCATCTCCTCTGGGTTGGTGCGCGAAGGTCCTCTTACATGTCTGAAGTGGGTTGCCGTCTGCACCTTGCGCACAGGTTGCATCAGGGCATCGCGCACCACGATGCTGATATCAGCCCCTGAGTACCTGTGAACAACCGGTTACAGTGAATCCATCTTCCAAGAATATCAAACTTTTTTTTTATCAGTATATTGCAATTTGGCTAAACTTCGTCACTGATAAGGAGTTGACTCACAAGAAAACATCAAATGTAAATAATTTGTATATGTAAAAAAGTATACTAACATTTAATTGTAGCCTACCTAAATTAGCCAAGTTATTTACAAATCCACAGAAGCATCTCCTTTCAATCCAAACATACAGTCATCCTCAATTACACATGTGTTAAAGTGGGAAAATAAACATACCAAAATAATATTTATTTCAAATGTTCTTGTGGGTCGTGTTAAACAAATTTATTATCAAGGATACCGATGACTATACTCATTGATTTTATTACAGCTATCAACTTTTGAATTGTTACTAAACAAAAAAGGGTTTGACTTAATTGCTAATTAGTTTGGAATAAAGATACTAAATTGTATTTGTATCAATATAATGAAGAAACTAATCTTCAGGCTGTAATAAAATCATCAATAGGACATAAGATTGATGTACCTAGTAAAATAGAAAACCATGTAGAAGGACCAAAAGAAAAGTTGCCTTATTTATACATCATTGTACTTCTGCTGAGAAATTCTTTTACAATAAAAACAAAAACTCTGCTAATACAAGACGTGTGTCTGCACACTCACCCCTCAGTTCGTCTTGCCAACTCCTTCAGATCTTCTTCTGTCAAGACATGGAACGTGTTGCCGAGATGCAGTTTAAACATTGAAAGTCTGGCATGTTCCTCAGGCAGAGCTATGTATATCCTCTTCTCAAAACGCCTTCTGATGGCTGCGTCCAATACCCATGGAATATTTGTAGCTCCAAGAACTAAAATGCCATCGTTGTCGTTTCCAACTCCTGCAAACCAACAGGTTCTGATTCACGCACAAATAACTTAATTTGAGATGTTCAATGAAAAAAGGAGGAATAATTAAGTTGATGGTTAACTTTCATTATTTTGCTGTTATTCAATATGAACTGCACACAAATATCAAAATTGATACATGAAACACATCATGGAGTAGTGTTCTGATACATGATTGTTAATTTCATTTTAAAACCTGAGTAGTCTTTTTTCATAATTCTGAATAGCATAAACATAATTACTTTATACCATAAAAATGTTAAGGTTAGAATATTATACTGTCACTTACAGTATTTTCAACCAAGGTTTCAGTTGGGAAGGAAAGCCAATCATCTTTCTTTCGAAGTACCTAAAACCTTCCTTTTAACTCCAGTGACTGAATGGACTCTTTCACCTCAGACAATCTTACTATGCCATCAACAATACAAAGACAAATACAGTTCTTCTATTTACCTTGCATCTGAACCAGAAACTCAGTTTTGATCCTGCGAGCGGACTCTGACTCGTTGTCTGACCTGGACGAGCACAGGGAGTCAACCTCATCAATGAAGATGATGCTGGGCTTGTGTTGTCTGGCCAACTCAAACAGATTCTTCACTAGCTTCTCTGACTCTCCTAGCCACTTCGACACTAGGTCTGATGAAGAAACTGAGAAGAATGTGGAGTTGTTGGCCTCTGTTGCCACCGCCTTTGCCAGATATGACTTTCCTGTACCTGGAGGCTGAAACACCACCAGAGCTCTGAGTGGACAAATTTGTTGCCGTTTCGATATGAAAAAAGGTGGCATTGGAAAACCTTGCTTTGTTTAACCTGGAATCTAAAATTATTGTCACTCCAAAATGTTAAAAAGTTAAATATTGAGATTACAGATAAGAATAAATTAAATCTAAGCATATGTAATATATTTATTATTTATGGCCTAATATTAAAACTCATTTCAATCAAGAAATTATTTTAAAAAAACAACTGTTTGCATAAAAAATTTCTCCAGGAAGGCATTTGTTGCAACTGTTAGGCATTTGGTAAAGAAATTAAAAATTATTCGGGGTTTGAAAAATGACAAGACAATACGGGTAAATAAACTACAAAGATTACAACTACAACAGTACCAATAGGATTAGTCTATTTAAACACAAATGTTTCCTTCCTCTAAATTCTTTCGAAAAATTCATGAAATTACCAAAATCCGATGATGGAAATCAAAATAAAAGAGTTGTCAACTACACCAAATCCGAATACTCACGCCAAACAACAATATTCCTTTCCAAGGTATACGTTTGCCGGTGAACAGGTGAGGGAAGCGTATCGGCAGGATGACAGCTTCCTTAAGTGCCTCTTTAGCACCTTCGAGCCCCGCCACGTCCGACCACTGGACGCACGGCTTTTCCACCACAATCGCTCCTTCCAGCTTAGCCTGCAGCTTCTTCTTCTCCGGATCATCGGAGTCACTATCGCTGTCGCTCTTCTTCTCGTCATTTCTGAATCAAAGGTTGATATGCTTCTCAAAATCATTTTAGATAATTGAAAAATTAAGTTCACATTCCTTGGATCAAACAAATTGTCTACTCTTCTTTAACCATATGTTTTTATTTTAATTAAACTTTTACTCCATGTTTTTGGTACGTATGAATCTACTATTGCACAGTGGTTGATTGATAAATAAAACAGGCCTAACAGTAATTTATTGACATATCTTGGTGTTTTGCCTGAATTTGCTTTAACTTTTTCAGTTGCTTTATCAAATTCATACTTATAATTTCATAATTTGACCAGAAGTTCATCAACTAATATTTTACAAATATTATAAAACATACAAAGATGATTTGTAAAATATTTTGTGTTTCTAGCCTTATTCCATAAACTACAAAAATTATTTTCTTAATATACATTCTGGTCCTGTATAGAATATTTTTAATTCACGACAACCCACTACCGTAGGCTAACTACCTACCCTTGAATAACTACCACCTAATAAACAACATTAGAACCTACTGAATTAATAATCATAATAAAACTCTGCAGGATTTAATGTTGTACCGTCCAAAATTGTTAGGATTGCAGATTGCCTTCTGTCCCACTGTATGAGTATAGTATGTATATCTGTCTACAGTAGGCTATTAGAATGTATGAACAAATGTTATTAATTTATTTAAGGTTTTATAAATTCAAAATAATTAAATCACAAAACAATATTTTAAGGCCTATAGCTCATTACGTACGATTTTTCTCCTGCTTTGACAGGTTTCTTGGTTTTTCCTTTCTTCAAGTATTCCTTAAGTTTCTCAGCTCTGTCCAAGTACTGTAGACATTTTGCCCTGATGCTCTCTTTCGCTCTTTCTCCTTGAGCTTCATCTATAAAATAATTATTTTTGTAATATTCACATTTCAACTACCGGTATGTAGAACAAGTGCAAAAGTATTTGGTGATAATTTGTTTTCAAGCGCATGTTTTTCCTTTTTTGACAAGTTTGAAACTGTAGAGGGTTAATTTAGGCTGAAATGCTTTTTAACCTTGTGTTGTAGGGAATGATGAATGTTTTAGTTATTTTTTTAATTGAAGTTACAAGTAGGGTATAGAAAATCTCCTTTTAAAACAAACGGTATAGAAAATCTCTATTTAAAACAAATTTGGCATTTTTAAATAAGTTAAGAAAACAAGATAGGCTTAGGCTATATAAAAGATTAATCAGCCATGAACATAAGAAGGGGAAAAAGTTTGGTTTAAGACTATCCACTATTCTGGTACAGGGGTTAATCTTATCACACTTTGATAATTTGATGATCAACCAAATGACCAGCCTAACCAAAAGTGCTAGAGCAATTTTTTAATACTTTCTTTAGTTAATACATAATTTTTTCTTCAGTGCCTGATGTTAAACAGTTATAATTGATCTGCATACACTTAAGATTCGGAAATAATTTCTACGAGGGCAGTTAGTAAGGACCGGTCTCATGTATGAATCCGTAGTTCGCTTGTACGCCACAATGAGGCTCATTATTATTTACTGGCATAATTTGTAAACAGAATGACACAAATTTCACCTCTATAGACTGAAATGTACGCTGTATGTTTTTAAAATATTTTCAAACAATCAAATCTCCCGCCGCGTTCAAGGTAAGGTCACCAAAACGTTTTTTTATTTCAAGAAATATCCGACAATGCCGACATTCATCCCCAAATGACTGGAGATTATGACCCTGATGCAAACATAGCATGGAAAGAACAAAATAGGTTGGGGAGTTAAAAAAATGTCCATGATAATGCTCATTTCGGAAGAAAAAGTGTTTTTAGGTGGGTATCCAGACTTCTCAAAGAAGACCACTAGGAAAAAAGGATTTCACAGCCATTTTTAAACTCCACCCATTTCCGCACTTTACTCTCACTTACCGGTATTGCATTAGGGACATCATCTTCAGTCATTTGGCGATGAATGTCAGCATCAGATGATAGGCCTATTGTTCTTGTAATCAAAAAACATATCACTGACCTTATCTCGGACGCGGCAGGAGGTTTGATTGTTTAAAAGTTTTTAAAAACACACAGCCATAACAGCTACTGAGCTGAAATTTGTTTCAGTCTGTTCACAGATGATGCCAGTAAATGGTGATGAGCCCCGTTGCTGCTTACAAATGAACCACGGATCTAACCGCAAAACTGGCCCATTCTTAAAAACATGCCCTCGTAGTAGGCCTATGATAAAAAAGACACAAGTAACATGTTATAGTACCGGTAACTTATTAATTTTAGTATCTTGCTTATTCTACCTTCTATCGTTGCTAATGTCAAAGTAGCTCAGCAAGCTTTTTTAATTGTTTCTAAGTGGGTATAATAATTTTTTTTTTAATAGATTTTGTAATTTTTATAGGCCTACTAATTGTTTGCTGCAAAGATTAACTTGGAAGAAATACTTATTTTACTGTTTATTTCAATGGGTCTTTTTATACCTAAAGATAGTATTAAACTTTTAAGAATCCTGATTATTTTATTAATTTCTTAATTTTTTGTCCATAACGTAAAAGTCACAAGATAGTAGTAATGTTTAAGTGAGAATGAATCTAATCTAAGGGACTTGTAGAAGAGTCAACCAACAAAATTATATTATTAATAAGGGTATAGGTATAAAACAATCATCCAAATGAAACGATTACACTAACTTCAAACTAACTAACTTATAACTTCTTGCTGCCTATGAATGAGCTAATACTTACACTTAATAGCATGAAGAAAATATTCGACACCGTGTTCATACAACCTCAGTGCTTCTTCATAATTCTTATTTCTATCTTCTTCTGTTGCTTTTGTTACTAGATCGATGGCTTTCTATAAAAAAGTATTTGTTACATTAACTTATTTTTACGGGAAAAAATACAGAGTAATAAAACTGTTCGAATAATTCCTATGCAGGTAAGTTATATCAAGTTAATATATTATGAACCTTTATGTATTTCTTCAATTAAAGTTTGGATCGTGATTGTACCTGGAACTGTATTGGTTACATATTATGTATATAATATACATGTACAGTACTTACAATTTTGTTGCAATAATAGGCCTACCTACGTGTGTGTATTATCCAACTAAGTATTTTGAAAATATAAATGTGCAGTGCCATAGTATAAAAGAGACTGTTCATTTTTCTGCAGTAGGCTACAGTATGTCATAAACACATTAACTTCATTGTACACATTCATTGTTATTCGTATGCAAGTAGGCTAACTTACATAATTTAGAAAAATGTTTGCAAAATTAGGAACTGATGTTGGCCTATGTAGCTGAGATTGATTTATGGAATGTTCGATCTATATTTACATTTTACACATTTCTGCAAAAGGCTAGGCGCCTGAATTCTTAAAGTACAACAGTATAGTTAATAGTACCTGTTTAACCCTCCGAGTGTCACGCGTCATAAAAATGACGCACAACACACTTTGTGTAGGGTCACGCGTCACTTTTATGACGCACAAACATCGTTTACGGCGAAGGCTCTATGACTGACTGAATCGGATTGAACTGGATCGAGTTAGGTATCGTTCTTTCCGTAATATTCTAAGCTTTCTCCAGAGGTCTGTCTCTAAGCGCTATTCATTTTAGTTCCGAAAATATTGTAGCAGACAGCTGACGTGCGTGTATTTGTAAACAGCTAGGTTCCCCCGGACCGATGACTGATGTGTTTTATTACGTTTATCATTGTTTTAGTGTTAAAAATCAAAAGTAGTGATATACGTGGTGCATTATAAGAAGATTTAAGTGGTTTTGAAGTGCTGGTTGATGATCCTGAAGAAGTAGGTAGTGATATTGATGTAAATTATCAGCCAGATTCCTAGCTATGGTTAGGCTATGCATTCTTAGCTAAACGCTATGTACTGAAATCCGTTTTTCGCTCATAACTTATTTATTTGATAACTTACCTCGCTATATGATTATATATTTGTAATCCTCATTAAATTTAGAACAAAGTGGCTATTTTCAAATATTTATAGGCCTATAATTTATACAATTTCATTGAGCGCGAACTTATTTTTTTTTTGAAAATTTTCGAAATTGTATTTTTTTTTACCTAAAAATTTTTTTTTTGAAAAAATGTTCCTTATGTTTTATATATAATATTGAAGCCCATGATTTTCCAAACAAAATGGTATATAGAACATTAGAATTGACATTGTTTTAAGCTTCTCAGATCCGTTTTAATAAAACCTTGCAAAGGGGCCAAAAATAGGTGGACATTAAGGCCTAAACTATGGACACTCGGAGGGTTAACTTTCCTTTTAGGTTACAGTAAACTCCCAATTGAGCTATCCGAGACCCAGTTATCCAAGGTCGTTATTGGTCTAAATAAGTTTTAACTTTTTTTTAAATAATTTTATTTATTTTCAGCAGGAAAACAATAAGTTAGTTAGGCCTACCGTATGTTTCTATTCAAAGAACCGTAAAAATAACAATTAATTTGCGATTTATTGTAACGAATACAGTACTTGGAATAACCATTTTTAACTTAAGTGTTTTTTTAGTGTTAAAATAAACCGCAATAACCTTTGAAAAATTTTTTTTAATCACATGGAACAAGATTGGCCGGCTATCAATGGCAAACTGGACTGGACATGTTAGTGTTTTTTTTTTTCTATAAACACCTTTGCTGCGGCACGTCAAATGGCGGGCGTATCCCCAGTGGGGCACAGCCATCAGTGTCAAACAAACCCGATTGCCGCGTGTGATTGGCTTTCCAATTTTGGTCTGGCAAATAGCAAATAACGTGCGGGGATGTCCTGCTTTACAACGAGAGTCGACGTAGTTCGCTAAAATCCCACAGATAGCAGCACTGCTTGGAACGTAGCCGATCCTATTGTAATTGTATTGCCAAATGGAGGGAAAAAGGTGGGACAGAAAGTTGATTTTTTAAATTGCCAGACAGGGATTTTACGGGAAAATTTACTACCAACCCACACCACAACAAAATGCAAGTCACATACTACACGCTAACGTGGTACCTATAGGTCCGCTTTCGGCCGACGATAGGGCAAAAACGAAGATATACAAAAGGCAATGCCAAGCGTTCCCGATGGGGTAGCCTACGGACCTGCTACGGACGCACCGTAGGCCTACAGGGGCCAAGCACCGTATCCGATCGGGAACGGCCGCACTCTACGTGTTAACAATACTATTTTATTTAGAAAAAAAAAAGGTTAGCCTACATCAAAATTACATTAATTACTGTATCACTTTTCATTACAAGCTGTTTTGTTTAAAGATACATTTGACAAGTATTTGACTTCATAACAAGGTACCGTAACCCTAACCTCAAAATCTATGTGACCTCCGTTTTATCCAAGATACTCTGTAACTGAGGTAGTCTCGGTTCTAACAACCTACAGTTAATTTTGAGTGTAGGCCTACTGTATCTATTCAGGCCCTGTCACATGTGTATTTAACAAGTAATATTTTAAAAATATGGGTTTCCCTTGCTTAAGTAATATAAGCTAAACAAATAAGGCCTAATTTAGAGTGTATACTAACTTAAAATGTCAGTAGGCAAAAATGAAACAACCTAAAACTTACTTGGAGGGTTGTCCCTGCAGCCATTTTGTGTGTTCAACTGAAAAGACTGAAAATAACAACTTAGATTAATTAACCACATTTAACCAGTAATGTACAAATATACTGGTAATGTGCAAAGCTTAGTTTGGCCAAACCTTTTTTAGTCTAAGGAACCTAAATACAAATTTGTAACATCAAGGATTTTGCTATAAACCCATCAAGTTAGGCCTACTACTACTGCAAGCTGTAGAAATGCATTAAACTGTGGTTTAATACTTGAGCATTGATTCTGTTTTAAAGGCCATTTCATTAGATTAGCATTTAGTCATAAATTAGGCCTATTTTTGTAGGCGGGGTCTAACTGGGTTATTTTCATAACCTCATTAACTTAACTTAGACTACACAGTCTTATGTAGGTAATGTCAATCTAAAGACTTTTATAGCAGAATCCATACTGAATTTATCCTGAAGATACTGTAGGCCTAACTAACTTCCACATTAATTTGGCCTTTTTAAAGTGTTAAAAAAAATTTCATTTCCACACATTGCCTGGTAGGCCTAAGTTAATTCTGAGCCAATTAGGCCTAACTTAGCTTAAACTTGTTGTATTAATAGTCAAAGACGTGGGTCAACTTTAATTTTTATCATAATATTACAATTAGGCTAGGCCTAGGGTGCTATTTGTTAGAAAAACCTAGTACTTAACAGGACAACATAAGAATTTATTTCCGGAAAGCAACTATTTAAGGAGCAGGCAACTATCAGAAAGGTCAAAATCCGCTCCCCCTTATCATTAGGCTATCACCCTACAAATCAATTCTTATCATGATGGCCAGTTTTTTGGGATTTTACCTTGTTTCCACGTACCTAAGTAAAAACTTAACTTAAGTTAATGGTTAATGAGTTCACATTAATTCAATTAGCTAATAAGTAAAGTTAGGTTTAACTTAAATTAGACGGAACTAGGCTAGTTAGTCTTAGACTAGTTAGCCTAAGTTAGTCCCAGTTATTTTATATTTCCATACGGTAAGTTTTTAGCCTAGTCAAAAAATTTGGTGTTTTTTGTGTTTTAAGTGCTAAGTTAGGCCTAATGCAAATTTTCTTTACCGCTGACCATTTTTATGGGGTCGCGCAGACTTTTTATAGGTACCGGTAAGTTTAAAAATACACAGAGGATACGCGTCCGGTAACCAGACGTCGATTAGGCGTCCGGTAACCAGAGGTGGATTAGGCGTCCGGTAGGGGGTCCCGGAACGCCATTTACCACAATGATACGATGTTCAGCCATGAGTGTTCGTAGTGTAGTGGTCTAGTGGATAGAGTGCTCGACTGATGTGCGAAAGGTCCCCGGTTCGAAACCCATCGGTAACTTTAACTTTTTGTCGCAGATTTTGCTTTGAATGTAATTTCTTCTTAACTGTACATCTTTTGTTAGAATTTTTGGCATTTATAATTTTATGTTATGAAGAGAATTGAACCTTTATTTGATTTTTTTCACTATCAGCAAGTTTGGTTGGTTAGGTTAGGTTATGACAGTAACTGCCGGACGCCTAATCCACGTCCGGTTACCGGACGCGTATCCTCTGCGTTAAAAATAGCCTACTTTTCCTACTCAAAATAAGCTACCATGTATAGCATGTCATATTGTTCAAGAAACTAACTTGAAAATAATAGTAGGCTACCATAAAAGGATCATACTGTGCCTCTGGTGGAATTCGATCCAGCTACCCTCAGGTTTTCAGCCTGGAATGATATCCACTACACCACCAAGACTGATGGCTTTTCAACATATCGTTGCAGTAATTGTGTCCACTCAAGAGAAGAGACTGACTTCACGCCCTGACAGCCAATAGAATTGAGCGTCACGGAGTGTCCCGTGAGTCTTGAGTAAACTGGACCCGTTTAGGGATTACAGTTTTACTTAGTGGTACCGTAGTTAACCGTAATTCCGTAATGCGGCACACGCACTAAGCTTCTAGAATAAGTTAGAAGGTAGATAAAGGAAATCAAAATATCAAAACGACAAACTAAAAATATCTTTAGTTAGGTACCTTAGTTAAATTTGTGGCCTCGGAGAAATTTTTGTGGTAGGTACCTACTGTTATTTCCAGGTAAAAAGTGAGTCTTCTACTTTAATTAAGTTAGGTGACGTTAGTTGCAATAAATACCATTATTGTCTGGTCTTAATTCTAAAAGTCCCTGAAGGTTAACTTGATTGAAGGTTAACTCAACTGAACCCCTTAAAAATTAAACAAAGCCTAAGCCCTAGTTCTTCATTCTTATCTGAAATGAAATAGTGATTGGCTCTCAGTCAAAACTAAACATCTACAACTTAGACCAGGTTAAAAATCTAACAAATGGGCTAGAAGCCTAGGCCTGGAGCCAATCCCTATATGACTCATTAAACCTAGATTGTCAAGCTTGAAGGATACTAGGCCTAGGCCAGTAACAGTGACTATTTCGTGTAGTGAGATATGTAACGATTATGACAAACAGCAACCACCCTATTCAGTTCATTATGAAGCAATCCTACGGTAAATTGATTGCCTTACCTCTTCTAAGGAATTGTGAATAGCCTAGATGATCCGATCAGGAAAACTGAGGAATAAACTTAGATTATGAGTTTGATAAAATTATTGAAAATTAAGTTCACTAAATCTAAAGTCAAGTTTACTTTAATAACTGACACTGATGATAACTTACTAGAATTTATTTTCTCTTGAATTTTAAGACATGCCAAAATTGACAACTAGAATAATTGATGTTACTGTTTTTAGTGTTTTTGTTACGTTTTGGAGAAAAAACCAGACGGACAAAACTATGTCGTCTAGATCTCAGGCGAATAAGCAATAAGCGAATGCGATTGGCTGATAGCCTTGTACTTGTAACAGTTGTTGTGATGCTTGATGCTGCATCTGGAAGTGTTTGGTGAATTGTAAATTAGTCATAGTATAACGAGTGTAAATATCTTTAATTTCATCGACAAAGATATAAAATAAATTACTGAACAGTGTCCATACTACTACTGTATATTCAAATATTTTAACGCTGACAGTGTAGAAAATTTCGGTCCAAACCCCATGTATTATCATGAGGTCCCAGATAGATGACCGTCATCCCAAATTATCGACACTGATATAGTCGCAAGTCGCATCTCAACGAAAGCCAAAATTATCGAATATCGACAGTAACGGCACGTAACGGTCATATGAGATTTCGGTTAGATGAGATGTCTGTCATTTGGGATGTATTTCAGTGTCAACATAATGCGAAAGATGTGATGTCGACAATTTGTGACGTCGATCACGTAGAATGTTGGTCAAAGGGGGATAATTCACTGTCGATCACATGGGAATAATTCAGTTTCGATCAGTTTCAATAATTGTCGATCATATGGCAACCACCCCTCCTCGTTATGTAGTGAGTTTTGAAACATACCTCCACCCCTTTGGCAAGGGCCCTCTTGAGAGCAGTGATGCACGGGGTTGCCAGCATTCTACCCCAGGATATTAACCCCCATGAAAAAAACTCTTAGGCCATTTTGACGTCACATGTCTGGGGGATTTCCGGACGCAAACTTTTAGGTAGGACGGATAAATATTATTTATTTCAATTTCACGATTTACTTAACAGTTGTAATTAATCAAAATACCATTAAACCCTGACACCGGAATTTTACCCTCGGAAATCTACCCCGGACATCTACCCCCCGGACATCTACCCCCAGAAATCCACCCTGGACATAAACTATACCCCCGGACATCTACCCCCAGAAATCCACCCCGGACATCTACCTCAGAAATCCACCCCGGACATCTACCCCCAGTGGTCAAATCATAAATATCCGACCCCGGAATTCTACCCCTGGAAATCTACCCCGAGGCTTGGTCGGCTACGCTACGTATCGGTCCAGAGATACATTGTTGTACAGAGTAGGTAGTTGGTTTCATTTTTTTTGTGTGAATAACTAACGGTTAATCATTACCCTTTACTATCAATATTTGGTATTAAGCATCCGATACCGGTATTTCGTTGTCTTGTTTCATTATCTATCTTTAGTTCCTAATTCAATAATCTGTAACAACCATTGTTCACCTGAAATACTTCACTGATTTTTACGATTGACTTGTCATTTAAAGCCTTAAGATCGTGTCTATGGTGCAACGCAACGCAAGATGGTAATTGAAAACGAAATTTTGATAAAGAGGGCTTCAAAAGTTTGACCCCTTAGCATTTGATTTATTTCAGACAGTGATTTAAATTGTTGACCAACTTTCACATACATATAGTAAAATAACAGCAAACGGCGTATGAGCGCAGATCGTGAAATTTAAAACATATCATTCAAGGAGGAAATTGTCGAATATCTAAAGGTAAAAAATACCATGCAATCAGTGACGTAGCCAGGATTTCAAAATGGGGAGGGGTCGACTGACCGGGCCGAAAGATTGATTGAAAAAATTCAAAAATAAAAATGTATGTAAAAAAATACAAAATAGCAGATATTTGGTTGATGAAGTGATTTCGGAAAAAATGTTAGAAGTGATTTTCTCTTTATTTTGACCCAAGGAATCACTACCTAAATTATGTCCCCACCTTTTTTTAACACCCTGTATATTGTGTCTATTAGCACGATAACTCAAGTAAAAATGATCCGATTTTGATGAAATTTGGTATAAACTATAAACTTGTAAACCTACAATTATTCGAACAAGTTGGCGAACCAGCATGATCGGACCATGGTAAAACAGGGGTTTATGTAGGGTTTTTTGGGGTAAAAATAGGTTTTTCTCATTTTTGAACCTAAAAAAATAAAATTTAGCAATTTCTTTCCAAACCATTTTGTAGGGCATAAAAAAACCAAATAATTTAGTATATTGAAGCGTTGTTATGCGCCTAATGGTTACGGAGAAAATTAAAAAAAAAATGTAAATTTAAAATTCTTATGTTTTTCTTATGGAGAGTAATTTACTGTTTATGGCCATATTTTGATCACATTTGGAAAATGCATTTATTTCATACTAAACATATACTAATAACATAAAAAAAAACACTTTTTTACCCTCCCTGCTGCAGCAAACCTAGAGTACTCGTTGAATTAATGCTATTTAAAAAGGGAATAAATGTGATATTTTTAAGGAGACATTTTAGTGTAAATCCGATTGGCAAATGGAAATTCGCTTAGTCTGCAGGTTTGCTGCGGCGGGGGTATTTATCACAAGAGATGGAAAGGGTATAAATAAACCCAACAATAGTACTTCTTCACATTTTACTTTTTACAAAATTAATTGTACATTTTCCTAGCTAACACATTTTTTCCTAGACACTAATTACAGGTACAGGACTATTTACATATCAATTAAACCTACTAGTATTCACAAAATCACATATTGATAAATTTACATTCAAAATTTACAAAATATTTACATGGTAGAATTGATAGTCAAAGATGGTAGTTAAAACTTTTATTGTATATATACATTATTATATTACCATGATCGTCCCACTGTTTAAAATGCATCATAAAAGTTTGATGGGATTAAATTGATGCAGATGAACTGAAAACTAACATAGGTGTATTTCCAGTACAATAATATTTTGCCTTTCTTAACAATAATTACTAATTAATAATAACAAGGTCTTCAAATTATTATCTTTACAGTTACTTAATTTAAGAACTGAATAGTTATATTACTGTTGTATTATTATGGTGTTACATATCAAATGTGTTTCTACAGTGTGCTATTTCATTTTCACCCCCAAAAATAGTCCAATCTGGGGTCCATGCCATGAGCATTTTACAATATTTTCCGAAGAAGGGTTGATCATTTTTTAAATAGTAATTTCAATAAAATATCCTAGCAAAAATTATTATTACTTAAAAATATAAACATTTCTCCAAATTCAACAAAATAAACTTTTGAAAAATAATGTAAAAAGCATACAAATTACAAAAACAAATCCTCAACGTAAAAATTATTACGTTCACAAAAACATATTTTTATAAATTAGTTCAAAATCAACAATATAACAAAGGTGACAATAAATAGTTGTAGGTAATTTTATTAACATACAGCTCACATGTCCCATCATACACAATGAAGATGTTGATGTTGATTTATCTTACAGATTCTAACACATTTTTATTTTTTGTTTTAACAGCAATAGTTAACAAACTATCAATAAAACAGCAAGAGAAAACACAAACATAACAAAAATGGTAACACAAAAGTTCTCTACTTAATCCAGAAGAATCTATCTAAGGAATAGAATCCATTGTTGTCCAGTGAGTAAGATGTTTTAGTCTAGAGCAGCAGTGAAATGTATTCTCCTCATTATGCGTCTAAGTGCAAAAATGTTTCTAAACTTAAAAAATCAGCAATTAAAAATCTAGCCAGTGGTAATGAGCAAATTCATTAAAATGTAAATGATAACTTTACGTTTACTCGCTCACTTAGTTTTTATATCATGCCGCTCCTTTTTTAAGGATCTTTATAGATACTTCATAATAAAAAAACCAATTGCATCAACAAACTAAAAAAATAACTTCACTGGGGCTTTTAATGGGCAATTAAAAAATATTTTATATGATGTAAAGTAGGGGATTTATTTGCAAGATTTAAAATGTATACAATTTTAAATTTGCTCTTGCATAACCATCACTTGCTAACAGTTACAAGTTTAGTGTCCAACCTGACCTTAAAAACTCAATGGAAGTAATAAGAGAATTAGTGTTGCTTGTGATATGCTAATTATATTTTCAATGGAAAGTCTTTGTTAGTATTCAATACCACAAAAGAGGCTAGAGTGGATGCCAAGAACAGCTAGCTATTCGATAAGAATTGAGAGACTTTTTTACATACTAAAGAATGGTTAAGTTTAAGCAATGAGAGGCAGAGTGAGGTTGAGGTATGCATTAGGGAGGTTTGGTTGGAGTATAATTGTTAAAGCGAAGTTGGGCTAGAGGCCACAACAGATTAAGGTAAGATCATTGGAAACAATGGAAGAATTATAGCCTCCTCTGATAAAAGGTCGTGGCGTTGGTGTGTGGTCGGCAACATCGCACAGGAATGCTTATTGCTGTGGTAATAGCAGGAATAACAATCTGTAAATACACTCCATTACAAAAATAAGGCTGTTTCAGTAAGGTTGCCACTTTCATCTCGCTGCGGTTTTGTATAGAAGAAGCTATGGTAGAAGCCATGAAGGTTTGGTTAAGGGCGATGAGAAATTAAGAAGGTGGTAATGGAAGGCTACAATTGAGGCCATGAGAGGCTTGTTTAAAGACCATAAGGAGGCTTGGCTGATGGCCACAAGAAGTTAAAATGGAGTCAATACGAGACTGCGATAAAGGCAAGAGAAGTTAAGAAACTGAGGCAATAGGAGAGATAGAGACCATTGAAGGCTATGGTAGAGGCCATGGGAGACCAGTGAAATCCACTGGGCCTCCAAGACCAGCATCAGCTTCCAACAAACTCATGATCACTGCCATGGCAGCTTCATCATTGCCATGGTTGTTTAAACTCTGCACATCTGTGTTGGGTGACTCTGTTTGGTCTATCATATCTATAACTTCATCCGGGTCACCTGAAATAAACATTGGAGGTAAAAATATTTAAAAAACATTAAAATGGTATGTAGACAAATGGTAGTCAACCACAAAAATATAAGTACACTAGTAAAGCAGGAAAATATGTAGCATTTTAAGTGTATGTGCACTAAAAACATAAGTTTTATTTGTTTGTATTATAGTTGGTGATAGACTGGCGTTCATAGTTTAAACCATATGAATTTGAAAGATGAATGTTAGATTGGGGAGGTGCATTATTTACTGACTTATTTCATACCAGCTGCTTTTTTCACCAGGGTATCTGTAAAAGTCAATAGGACATGAATAAAACTGCATCATAGCCTATATAGTAATGTTTCATGCTCAAAGAAGCAAAGTAAAAAGAACATGTACCTAACAAAAATCTCAAACATTCAAGTACTAATAAATAAATTTCTTCACAAACTGCAAGCATAATAACAATAATAAAAAAAGATACGCTTTTTAAAACACATGTGAAATACATACCTGAGTCGTTAGCAATGCTGGAAAGTGTGACATTGTTACGTACTGCGCTGCTGTATGCATTCACCTCACTGCCTGGACTGTTGTTACACGACATGAGACTCTGACTAGGGAGATCATGGACCACAGAACTGACTACTTGTGACTGCTGTAACAACAATCAGCTGTTAGACACTCATGTTGTTATGTACTACGCTGCTTTACGCATTCACCTCACTGCCTGGACTGTTGTTGCACGACATGAGACTCTGACTAGGGAGATCATGGACCACAGAACTGACTAATTGTGACTGCTGTAACAACAATCAGCTGTTAGGACTCATGTTGTTGTGTACTGCGCTGCTGTACCAATTCAACTCACTTCCTGGACTGTTGTTACACGACATGAGACTCTGACTAGGGAGATCATGGACCACAGAACTGACTAATTGTGACTGCTGCACCAACAAGTCTTTGGAATGGAGTGCACCAACAGAGAATTCTCAAATCTTTTTCATCTTGCAAGATTATACCATAGATCATAGAGATGGATTTAGTGTAAAAAACTAAGGTAAGGTTTTGAAGGATGTGAATTCATTTCTGCAAGGGTTGGACAGAAATCAGTGCACAACTCTCTCATAACACCAATGAAAGACCAATGACTATAGCTCATAGCAGTTGAGTTACAAGGTTTAAAGCAGTAATGAAGTAGCCTTATGCATACAATAAACATGAACAAATATATGGAACCTAGTGTATTGTAACTGGTACCTAGACAGTTTTCTACAAATTAATTTACCAATCTGTGAAATACAACAAAACAAAATTGATGGGAAGGGTTTTATATCCCTTCAATAAATTGATACTTTTGGCAAGACGCCAAGTATCTTGTATACTAACCTCTGCTATAGGATCTTTGTGGGAAGGGGAAGGTGTGCTGTTAGGAGACGATGAGTCCCCTCCTTTCCTCTGCAGATCCAATACTTCTTCAGCGATCTGTCTGCCGATCTTGCTGGCCTCTACATGTGTGCTGATCATACGAGACATCTCCCTGCTGCCCAGACCATTGCCATTGCCTGCAACAAGTCGTAATGGTAAGTTTATAAGTGTTAATAATGTTAATGTTAACAAACTGGGGTACTACATTGGTATGGGGAGAGCAAAAGTTCCAGTGTCATTAAAACTGTAAACATGTAAATACTGCATGTATGTTTTATTGATGTATTGAAATTAATGGTAAAATCATTGTGCTTTGTCTTCACAATATTAACATCCTGTATGAAAGCATCACTAAAAGAATAAAGACCACAAAAAACTTATAGACTTCAATATTGTAGTTTCGGAATGTTTTGAAATAAGAGGATGTAAATTACTGGAAAATCTCACAATGGATTGATAGTTGAAATCATCATCACTTACTTTGAGTTCCAGAGAAGAAATCAAAATTGCTCTGAGATTGAGTTGGGCCTTCAGAACGTGTTGACTGACTGCTCTCAACCTTGACATCCGATCTGGAAGGAAATCATTCAAATAATAATATTAATTAATTGTGGTATAGAATAATTAATATCAATTACAGTATCTGATAATTGTAAATTATTGTTCGATTTACACTTGGTAGATGAACATTAAATTATACTACCAAAATCAAAGTAACATTCCATATCCCCACATAGTTGACTCTTAAACAATAAATCTGTTGTTTCTCAAAATATTTTCAATTCCCTAGGAAACACTGTTCATGCTTACTACTTAGAGTAAAAGATGCTCAACAGTTAGTTTTATAACTAACTCCAAGTACAGTAGATACATAAAATAATGTAATCTGCGTTTTACCTCCACAAGTCAAAGTGTAACTTTACATTCCGACGTTTATCTCAAATGGACCTTTAAGAGTCCTTGGAGACTAGCGGACATCTTGGATAATTTAAAACTGCCGCTGAAAGGTTATTTATTGTCCAAAAATATTTTTCAAACACCAATGTGATCATAATAATTATAATATCTAGTACTGTATACAAAGATTAGAAATGTTCTTTGTAGTTTTTAATTGTTCTCCAAGCAGGCAGTCCATGGAAGCTAGTGGCCATCTTGGATTTGTGTGCCATAAGAGAAATGGTCATTTCTTTAAATTTCAAACAGCCGCTGAAGAGCTTATTTTACTATCTCAAAATATTTTTTCAAATACCAGAGTAAATGTAATTTAAATATCTAGTATACTGTGAGATTATAAATTTTCTTTGTAGTTTTTTAATTGTTTAACGAGTTAGAACGTCTAGGCTCCAAGGACTCTTAAGCGTCAATACTTGGTTGCCAAAATAGCATCTCATTACAAACATAAAATTTGATTTTTGTTTTTAAACATGTCCATTTCATTTGTGTTTAATTTAAATGGTTCAGACTTCTTTTAGTTCAGAAAAGAGTTTTGTCCTGAGGTATCTAAATAAGAGATACCGGTAGTCTGCTTTATCTTTACTACAACACAATTCTAATTAATCCCAGTATTTATTATGATACTTACAAACAAAGTTTATTTTTCGCTATGAGGTATTCTACATCTTTGGTCCAAGGATTTCTAAATGCCTTCCACTCACTTTGAAGACGAACAAAAGAGCCTTCTTTACTTCTAAACCTATAAATCTGAAAATAGGAATAGCAATGTAAGTAGGAACTGAATATGAAATAAAAGACAAACTGATTTGAAACCAAGTGTTTTGCTTAGTTTGCTTATAATAAATAGCATAATTATTCTGTATGGAAAGTTGGCTAAGTATTCTCTAAACAGTAAATTTTGCTAAATGTTCCCTACATTGAAAATTTGTAAAAAAAGATCTTTAACAAATGATGATTTTTGTTTCTATGCTCATGTATATTCTGTATGCATTTAAATTATTTTACTAAAAAGCAACCAAATTAGTTTGTACCTGAGTTCTAACAGTCTCTTGATTGTGAAGAGCAGTTTTGTGCGATTCAGCAAGATGAGTTATGTCTTCTTGGTGGTAATATTCGTACATACTGGTTCCTAAAAGTTCTTGAGGTAGGAATCCAAGGACCAGAGTTGCTCTAAAACAATAAGATCAGAAATTAATATTTTGAAATCAAATTTTTGTATCAAAAGTTCAAATCCACGTGTATCTTTAGGAATAATAGTTAAAACCGTATATGAATTAGTCGGTAATATTTTGCAATTATTATTACAGAATTTTTGTCTTCTAAAAGACTTATTCAAACGAGGAAGGAAAATGCAAGATACTTGAAAGTGAACAGTTTGTTAAACACTTTTAGTAAACCCATTTGAAAAAGGTTTAGAAGAAATTAAAGACATTTGCCTCAAAATGTTAGGGTTTTGGCTGTGGCTGGGATTTAGTATCAAGTAGAAACCCCAAAAAGGCAAACTTAATTTTTCTTATGGAATTTTAAAATGGAATTAGATTCCTGTTTTTGAGATTTAGGGTCAGTTTTTATCTTTTCTAAGACTTCTGCACGGCCATTTTATTTTACATTGTGGTAATCACTTTTATATTTGCAGAAGTATGGGATTTTAACCTTTAAGTTACATTTACTTTGAGATAAAATTAAATCTCATTGTTGTTGCTGGTACTCAAATGTAGTATTTCCATTCATATTAACTATTTTATCTATCAATAATTACAATTAAAAGTTATACTGTACAGTAGACTCTCTCTTATCCGGATACCTTTTAACCGGACATCGGATTAACCGGACTACACTCGGCGGAAATGACATCTGTTTAACCGGGCAATTTTTATCAGCACATTGGTTTAACCGGACTAGATCGGCAGGAAGTGGGCAATACTGAAACGACAGTTCTCGTGGGAAAGATTTGAGACCAGTGATCACGTGTCTAAATACAATGCTCTCCTAAATTTAAGTCGAATATCACAGTAAACAGTTTGTTTTAATGAGTTTTTGGATACCTCGGTTTAACCGGAAACCCCGTTATCCGGACAAGAGGAAGTCTACTGTATTTACTTTCAATTTTAAACTTTTTATAGTTTTTAACTTTTGTTGTGGAAAGACTTGCTAAGAAAACAACCAAATCTCTCACCACTAAATTCAAAGTGAAACCTAAAACACTTACTGTTGGTCTGCAAAGAGGAACTTTCCGTCGAGTGCATGCCGAGAGATGAACTGTATCGGCCGCACGTTGGGTCGATGTTGGTGTGATCGTGGTGGCTCTACTGGCACCTGAGTTGGCAACACTCGTCCGACAGCGACCAGACAAGAAAGGTTACAAGCGTCTCCCTCCCCCTCCCCCTCATGGTCATCCAGTCCGATCTTCGCTGGAGCCCAAGACTTGAGGTACCCAGTGCAATGGATCACGCTGTACCTCCGATCTGACGACAGAATCATTTATTAAAACAATTTATTTCATGCCCCTTTGCCTCATATGATGCATGATAGGCTTTCTTATATCCGTCTGTAGTTCAAATTTCCATAAAAACATAACACCGCCTAGATTTGTTGCAATTGCAACTTTGTCAAAGCTTGCACCACGTACAATATTTGATTTTGATGTTCTGATGTGACCAAAGCTTTGACAATCCTGGACATAATACAAAACCACCCAGTATCATTTTGCTGTCAAATATTTGGACAACAGACTGGGGTAAGGAAGTCTATTTTGATAAATTAAAACCATAGGAATTATATAAATAATTGATAAGTTATTAAGAAAATAGAATTATGTAGACAACATAATCATAGTTTTATATTTCATAGCATTAGTATACCCTAGATTTTCTTTAGAGAATGCAAATTTTAAATGTTTTAAACTATATTGTGATTTGTAGCAAATAGATTTTTTTATCTGTAATTTTTATTTCAATAGAATACTTTATAATGTTAATGTGTTTTAAAAGGATTACTAGGGAGAAAAATAAGCAGATATTAAAGACAATCTTAAAGACATTTTGACATTCCAAAGGGAAAGGACAAACACAAAGCAAGATGAAACTTTGTTTTAAAATTCATCATCAATTAATGACCAATTGACAAAAATAGACGTGGATCAAGTTTCAATTCAATCAAGGTTATTAATCATCAATCAATGTTCGCAAGACGTCTCAACAATATTGATGGATACATACTACAATAGCAATAGCAGTCACAGTTTTTTTTGCATGCACTGTTAAATAGTATCAAGACCATCAGAGTTTGGAAAGTTCCCTTACAAAATCTGTGAAAAAAATTGATGTAAAAACACACAAAAAATAAAATTAAAATAATTTCAAATTTTGAAAAGAATTTCTTTTAGGGATCATAATTAAGATGACATTTTTGTTTACTGACAAGGATGCAGTCCTTTTTTATTGGTAAATTTGGAATTCGAATGTATTTGAGAATATCTGACTGAAACCAACATTTACTACAAATATCTAATTACCCGAAAGTTGTTGTTTTTTCCGCCTATGGCACCCTGTTGTCGTGTCAGCCTCTTCTTTGATTGAGGACGACACTTTACACTTCATACGACAGAAGAATGAACGTCTGGCTCCAGGACACAATCTGGAAAGGCCTTGGGGTATATCAGTCTTTACTGGCAACATCGCTAAAACAAATGCATCCAATTGCAGACACAACTTTCTAGAAATATAATTATTTTAATGAACACTAAAACTTATTAGGTTAGTGATTTACAATATTTTAAGAATTTAGAAAAACTCATGATTAGTAAACAATAATAATAACTTAGAAAAATGTGTATATGGAATGTTAAAACTGATAACTGGACTGCAGAAACAATTTTTTTATATTTCTGTAATGTGTGCTGATTGACTTTTGTTCATGATGCAGTTAGAAATGCATGGTTTAAGGTGTGTCACTGCTCAGCATTGTGTGCTTGATAAAAAACTGAAAATGCAATTACTTTTATAATAGTTTTATAGATACTTATCAAACATATTTTGTTTGAACACTGTAGTTACCCAATGACGAATTTAGCAAATGCAGCCCTAGGCCAAATTAACCCGAGCGGCACCCGCACTATGGGTGGGACTTGCCACGAACAAGGCGAAATCGTGAACACTCTCCCGATCACGGCGAAATGGTGAATATTTCTTGCAATCAGCTGTAGATATCATAATCGTCTCCCGCGGTCATGGAGACGTCGTCATCATTTTCTGTGATCACGGCCAGATAATAAATATCTCCCACGGTCGCGTAAATAGGATCAATGTCTAATGCCAAAATCTTGTACATTTCCGCTGTCTTGTAAACATCATCATTAGGGATGTAAAAACTTTAAAAACTGGCAATCAATTTTTTATTGAACTCAAACATGTAATTGATAAAACAAAAAGCAGGAGCCTAAAACGATACAGTATTTGTATTGCATCATAAATGCTTTTTTTAAAGATACCACCTTGAAAAAATCTCTGTTTAGGGACAGAGGTCCTGGAACAAAATAATTCCATTTAACTCCACCTAAAATCAATACCTTATTTTTCATATAAATTATGGTACGCTTAGGCGGTTGGCACTTACTTTTGGCATCAATTAGCCTCTCTCGTGGACTCAGGTCGGAAGAAGAGAGTTGTTCTTTCACCTTAGCAACGTCCTTCGGATGAAGAATATCAAACCAACTCTGACCAAGCAGGTCACCCTGGGAATAAAAATAAGTCATATAAAACGTGACGACAGTATAATGTTAGATATCTCAATAAACGTTTGATACTCAATCAAAATTATCATGAATGTCTAATACTACATTGTGAACTTTTGAAGTATCTTACCTCCAGCTTACCAATCTTATAACATTGTGGGGTCGATTATATCAAAACATATTTTATCTGGGGTAAAATTATCAAATGTTTACTCACATTTTTAACTAGGGTCCTGGACTCTTTGTAGACCTTCCTGTCTGTATAGATATCTCTTGCAGTGCTTTAAATGTTGGCTTCCATTTTAGTGGTATTTCAAACTAAGAATTAGTTTTAGATTAAGACAAAGATGCTTTATACATTCTCTTGTGTTAATGTATAGGTCTATTTGTGAAATTCTTTTCCAATCTGGACAATAGTTACTTACCTGTGCATAATTTAAAATCTGGGAGACGGATTCCGAAACATACAGAATCCTGCCTCTATCACAGCCAACAACAAAAAGAAACCCCTCAGCAGCCTGAAAAGAAAAAAGGTAAACAATTACAACAAAAATATGACAGATAAATTCTACAACCTAGAAGCTGCACCAACTTTTATTAGAGGGTTAGATTTAGCTTTGTCACAAATCAAACCAATGCTACACAGTGCACCGAAAGTTCCTCAGTCTGAAACATACTCTATTTAATATTTTGAAAAGTAAATTGTGTTTTGGGTTTTATGTCATTGGCATTTTTTTTTTTTTTTTTTGTGTTTTTCATCTAAAGGAACAATCCAAACCCAGGTCTTATTAGGCTACAATCTGATATTGACCTCTTGTTAAGCCGGGTTTTCCTAGGCGCAGAAGTGGAGAGCGGAGAGAGGAACGCGGAGAGCGGACTCCACTTGTCAAAGGTAATTGAATGTTACTGTTTTCCTAGAAGCGGAGCGGAACACCATGTTAATCTCTTTTCCGGTCTCCGCGTTCCTCTCTCAACTTCCGCGCTAAGGAAAACCCAGCTTCAGAAAGCATTTCATTAGTGTCGATTTGACTGTGTGATTTCATTTTATTAGCATAAACAATTTATAGCAAAAGGACTAACATCTGGGTCCAAAATTGATCTCGCTTGGGATAAAATAAGCGACCTTAAATTTAAAAGCAAGCGCTACTAATAACATGATTTGTTATGGGAGGTCCAATGTTTGTCTTACTTATTTGACCAACTAATGTGACGTATTTCTATGAATCTACTTTAAGGAATCTGTAGTCAAATATTCATCAACAGAGGTGATTGGAGAATTTGAACCCAAAGATAGAAGTACCTCGATTACCTTGTTCAAACCACTTGCCTACAAGTGCTCCTGTCCTAAAATTTTGTACTGACAGTTTGAAAAGAAAACCCCACTTGAGTTGGCGCACCTGTAAAATCAGCTGTTTGAGTTCCTGATCGGAGAGGAAGGAGGGTTTGTAGTGTCCCTCGGTGTAGGAGTGTACAGCTCCTCTGATGGTCTTGAGGTGTTGCACTGCCATTCTCAGTACCGTAAGCTTGTCCAGCTTACGACTCATCGCATGACACATCGGCACCATGGACGACAACTCTGTTATGTAAGTGTTCATCTTGTCTCTCCGTCTCTTCTCTATCTCACTATGGTTCTGTCTGTAAAATATAATAAATATCGTTATCATATCACAACTTTAAGAGATGAAGACCAAAAGTAAGGTGTATTAACTAACCTTTTTTTTAGTATGGGGTGGGTGAGATGCCTTAGCTGCTTTTTGTAACTAAGATCTCTGTTCCTTTACTCAGGACTACTGAATAAAAACTTGATAAATGGAATTTCTTTAGAATCACAATCAAACTTGCAAACCTCAGATTATTAGGTGAGAAATATCAGGGTGTGGCAAAAAACCGATCTATTTTTTGCAGCGCACTGTTCAGCGACAGGTCGTCTGAGGGTGGTGGGGGTAGGATCGTTGGAAAGCCTATACGACGGGATTATCTGTAGTCATAGAGCAGTGGTCACCTGAGCAACGCATGTTTGTTACAAGTCGTTTAGAAAAAGTAATGATTCAGTCATTGCAACTCAGTGGCGTTTCCATGCATTCTTTAAATGGAGTGGTTCCTGTGTGATTATCTGTATGATAATTAACAAAATTAAAAACAGATTAATCTGTACATTAATCAGTAGGGATAATAATTATGATCGATCCTCGAAACAAGTGTAACCGAGCGGTCAGACATGATCAAAGCAGATGCTTGTTTTCGGTGGGCCTATCCGAGGACGGTTTCCACAGCAGCACTAACTCTATCGAATGTTACAATCTGACTTTGGAAGGCTTGTCAGCTTCTCTTTGAATACAGAAGCCGTTGTTCTAACCCACCACATGATTGTGCCACTTGACAGAATCAAAATCGCCCTAATAAAAAAAAAATCAACTGACACTAAATAAATGACTGAATCATTACTTTTTTAATTTAACTCGATAATAAATGCACGATGCTCAGGTGACCACTGCTTTATGACCTGAGATAAAGGCATCGTGTAGGCTTTCCAACAAGCCTAACTCCACCACTCTCAGACGACCAGTTACTGAAAAGTGCACTGATGAAATACAAACTTGATGAAACACTATAATTCACCAAAGTTTTGGCCTCGATATAGAGAGCCTCGTCCTCAGAGCAACTTGACTTCAGCGAGAAAAGTTTAATCGAGTTTCACACTATCACCCCAAGAAGACTATGATTCTACAAGAAAGTCAACATACCTAGTTGTACAACATAAAATTTCATGCTACAAGATTACAAATAACAAATAAATTAAAGATCTCAGTGTTATAATGGAGTGATTTTATTGAAAGGTCTATCAATGAACTGTTAAGGGAGGTTACAAAATCAAGTTAAGGTAGGTTATTAGTGACGTTGTAGAAGCCCCGAGTGGAAGTAGGACAAACGACCGATGTTGAGCTGTTAAAAATCCACCTTGGCCTTTCGTAATTTATCAACAAGTATTATTTCACACAAAAAGAAAATTCTATTTGTGTGATTGGATTTTTATTAAAATACTGTGTTATTTATTCCCTAAATAACATTAGATTTAATGAGTACTTAAGGTTTGCTGTTACATGGAAAGGCGAGTGTTTATTTTTATAAATGGTAACGGTATGGGATAAAATAAATGTATTTGCAAAATTTTATCAAAATATATCGTTGAACAAGCAAACTACAACAGTTTTATTTTTCTCCATATAAGAACAACATTGGAATTTTAAATACAGTTTTTGGATTGTTATCCTTCAACTTTTAACTGTACAACGATGCTTCAGTATAGAAAATTCTTTGCCTTTTAAGGTCTACATGATAGCTGAAATGGAAATGGGACCTTTCTATTTTTAGGGTGAAAATTAAAACAACAAATTTTAAAATAATTTTCAACTTTAATACAACCTGTTTCCATTAACCAATTTTGCAGATTCTCAAACTTAATCAAGTTTACTCAGCTTCTACACATTCATGCCAAATTCAGAAAAATCGGACCAAAGAGTCAAGAGGTATTTCTGTGCCACCACGACCTATAGTAAGCTTCAAAGCTGCCATAGCTTCTTCCCGGGAGGGAAATTTGCAGAAATTATCTAACTAAGCAGTTGAAGGCATGGCCTGTTTAAACTTTCGACACTGAATTTTGAGTTAATGGGTTGTGAAAATAAGTTTCCAAAGGAAGATTACAACTGTGTGCTTAAAAGATTTATGGTGATTTTTTTGTAATACCTAATATCACAAAAAAAGATGTAAATTATATTTTTATTCCACATCTATACTATAACCTATAACGCTACTAAATTATACTAACTTTTTATTATCACCCGTATGAAGCGATTTCGAGTCATCGCCAGTATCATCACCAAAGTCACTGCCCTCACTGAAACAAAAAAAAACATAAATGTTAAATAATGGTCTCATTGTTTAAATTATATTAAACATTGATATTTTTACACATAATTATACAAAATACAGAGTTTTTGCCTAAAGGCAGGCTTTTCTAGCTGCTGAACAAGACTTAGTGTTTTTGGCACCAACTCTTCAGACAACGGTGTGGTATTTAGCACTTTACCTAGCTGCTGAATTCGGAGGTTACCTGCATACTCCTCCCCCCCACAAGATTTTGAGTATGCATGCATGCCTGCTCTTCTCCAATAATCTGTCTATCCTAGCTCCATTTATAAAACTAATGTACCGTCGTTATTTGAAAAATGGGCTACAACATGGCTTTAACAAAGAAAAAGGATATGTACTTCACTATACCGTACATTCAAATATAATTAATTATATGATTTCAACATACTTTAACAGTGAATTTGAAGCAACAATTTTTCAAACGAAACAAACAACTGCAAGATAAAATTGCAAGTCTGAAGTAAGAAATTTTGTTTTAATATACAAATCAAAATTTATTAAAAAACAATTGGCTGCACGATCAAATTGCAAGACCTTGAAATAACTCTGAGTTTTTAATAAGAAAACACATTACAAACAGTCCAATTACAACTTGGTTAATTAATATTCTACAAGTGAGAAACATTAGTCTTAAACCAGCTCAATTTGTAACTCTTTGATCTACTGCGGTGTTGTAGGGGTTCTTGAACTGGAGACAATCTTACGGGTTCTCCAGAAACTTCGGAATCATAAACAACGGAAACTGATTTTGTAGTCTGACATCTGGTTATGTAACAAAGCTGCAATGTTTGGTTACGCAACGGAATATCAGGAATACCATAATAAACCGGGAACAATGTTTGACCTATTCCCTTTGACTGGTAAGTTTCATAATCGATTATCCTTGTGCTGAACTTACAAATATAAGTACATCAAAATTATTGATTGTGAAAACTGAACTTAGCGATGTGTGCTTTTTATTGTTTAAAACAATAAAAATTTAATGAGTGAGTTAAATAAATGTGTAATAGATATCCTAACATATTGTGTTCTTACTCTTTTGACTAAATGTTTTGATTCTATAAATGTAAATGAATAACTCCAGATATGGATTATATTTAACACCCCTACTACTGGAATAGAAATAAAAGAAAATCTTAGGTATTTAATACAAGCTGATAACTTTAAAAAGGTATGTTGAAACTATTCCTTTTAAAGGCATGGGAGCAAGCAAGTAAACTAGTTATCCTTGGAGTTAATGTTCATGCCCTTCAGTGTCTATCATTTAACCATCCTAAATTACTGAAATAGATCCTGCTCAAGTGTGTAGCATATAAACAATTAAATACCCTACAGTTTTATGCTAATTTTGTATACAAAATATTTTAGAATAATTAATTAATAACTTTTGAATAAAAAATATAAGGACTATTTGCAGTCAAAAACTCAAAGAAAAAATAGTACCTTTTATAGCTATACTTAGTAGTTCTAGTTCCTATGGTAGTGTTTCTTTCTATAATAGCTAATCCGGTTACACTTTCTGTTTGTCATGATTTAAAAGTTATAGTACAAAAAAAATGTAAAACTTATCCACTAAACTGACTGACAGAGTTTAAGATTTGTTACTGAGAAAATTCACTCTGTCAACTAACTTACTTACTGATAGGAAGGCGCTTTTCTTTTCTTCGACAGATGCTCTCTCGTGCTGTCCACTTGAGGGATTTCCATCCCCACACCACTAGAAGTTATTGTCTGTCCTCCTCCAAGGTACATGGGTGTAGAGCAAGAAGTCCTGCAACAACAATAACTGTTATTTGAGCACAAGTTGTTGTCTGTTCTTCTCCAAGGTACATGGGTGTAGAGCAAGAACTCCTACAACAACAATAACTAAACTGTTATTTATGAGCACAAGTTGTTGTTTGTTCTCCTTCAAGGTACATGGGTGTAGAGCAAGAAGTCCGGCAACAACAATAACTGCTATTTATGAGTCCCAGTTGTTGGTTGGCCTCCAGCAAGGTACCTTGGGTGTAGAGCAAAAATTCCTGCAACAACAATAACTAAACTGTTATTTATGAGCACAAGTTGTTGATTGTTCTCCTCCAAGGTACATGGGTATAGAGCAAGAAGTCCTGCAACAACAGTAACTGTTATTTATGAGCCCCAGTTATCGTCTTTCCTTCTGCAAGGTACATGGGTAGGGAGCAAGAACTCCCGCAACAAACAATAACTATTATTTACAAGATATTTCAAAGTAGAGGTAGGTTCAATATAAATGTAGCAGGCAGCTGAGAGAACATTGTGATCGCCTGGTAATCAAAATATCTTTGGTGATCCTGAGAAAACTTAGCACTGTAATTTTTTTAAGGCTTGGAAGTTTGAAACTCCAGTAAATAAGTTCAAAAGCAAAAATCTATTCTTACTAATGAATTTACATTTTTATTGTTACATAGAAAATTTATTATCAATCATGATGGTGCAAAATGAAATATAACAGTTTTTTAATTGGACTTCCAAAAACGGACATGCTACAACAACATATGCAACATAGAGTGCAATGTTCTATCGTTTGCCTAGTTAGCATCAGCAATTACAGAAGTTACAAGTTTGCATTTCTAGCCTCAGAAACTCGAATGAAAATTAAATAATTTTCAATATAACAAAGTGTACAAAACCACCAAATTAGAAAAATGTCCTAAACAAAAAAGTAAAGGCCAATAACTTTAAAATATACTTTATTATTTCTCAACAGACAATCTACAGAATGATAATTTTGTAACATTTAACAAGATAAATTGCTAAGCATAATCAATAGGGAAAACATTTTTACTTGTTCCTGCATTGTGGATTTTTCCACTAGCTACACAAATTAATCCATGGAACCTTAATAGTATTGTACTTCTCCACAGGAAGAGAAAGTTGTACGTTACTCTCTAATAGTGTTGTACAGAATGTCACCCAAACAAAATAATTAATAAAATAATGCCAAGAAAGTAATAAATCACAAAAATAAACAAACTTTAAAAAAAAGCTTTTGTACAAAAATTACCTCTAAAAGTTTATAACTTTATATTCAAACTAAAAACAATTTATGAGAATAGTCATGAGTAATAATTTAGACGATTGTATAATAAACAGTTCTAATAGATAAGATATATGTATTTAAATAGGCTGACAGTTTTGTCTGTGCATTTCTCAGAATATTGATTTTTTGTGTGGTTATTTTCAAGTCTTATAGCATAAGAAAGCCGATAGGATTCTTATCTCAAATTCTGTCCGTCTGTCTGTCATTGTGTCTGTTAAACCAAAATGCAAGAATGTAAATTTACCCGACCCACTCCGAGAAAACTAGTACTGATAAAACGTATCCCATGAATATTACTATGCCAGTTTACTTTAGTTTTATGAGTTACCCTTTTCATCCAAGATAACTAAATATTGTTAGAATTACACTTTTTGTAATAATTTCCATTTTGGGAACCTGAAAATAAACCCATAGCAAGACAATGAGCTACGAAAGGGAGGTACCCAATATTACAGTAATTGTAAATAATTGTACCAACCACAAATCAAAAGGATATTAAAATTCATGTTTGAACCGATAAACGTGATAGATAGCATAATGCTCTTTTTGGCCGGACATATAATATGGTAACATAGTGTTAAAGAGAAAAAATCCGATATATTTACAAACTAGCCATGTTAAAAACACAGCCTGAAAACGTTGAGCTTCAGCTTAAAAAAACATAAAACGGCGATTTGGTTAATCATAATCTTCAGTGTAACAAACGGGGATAATGCTAATCACAACCAATGATTTAAATCACATTTTCAGTTTGTTGAAAGCTCGTTACAAAAAAATAACTACTGGAATTAACAACTACTATGATTGGTGTCCAACCGTTTGATCAAATATGCAACAATTTTCAATTTCTATTATTTCTTCTCTCGGTTCACCTCCCCAGTTCCAAATAAAGAGATGAATGCAGGCCCAAATATAATAGGAAGACTGTCAATGGCCCTTTTAAAGATGGGATCACCTTGGTGATTTTTTTATCGTTCCACCTACTTTAAACTGAAACCCGATTTGATTTGTTTCTTGTATTCATCACGGGTAGGTTGTTAAGTTACTTATAATTCTTTTCCTCAAACATTAGAACTCTTTCAAAAAATGTGAAATATTATGTGGAAAGTAGGATTCTAAAAATAGTTACCGAGCAAGACACATAACGAAGAGATTATGTGCATGTGTTAATACGAGAAAGGAATTGTGTTGTTCTGAAAAAGTTGAATGTGTGTTTAAAATTCAAATTTACATTGCAATATAATGACGGTCAAAACCCAAACTTTTTAATCTCAAAAACGAAATCAAATTTTAAAAAAATCTCGAAACTCAAAACTTAAATTTGACATTTTTTACTTGCCTGGTTAAGTTTAAAAAATACAGCTTATAATAAAGTGTTTATGATGCAATAATCACGGAAATAAATTAAACTCCAATCACTGATACCAATAAACATAAATGAGATTAAAGACTTAATTAACCTACTGTAGCATTATTTTTTAGGAAAATATAACTGAAATAAACTAAACTCATTTTGAAGTTTTGAATCTCTAAACTCATCAATCAAATCTCAAAACTGAAGCCTTTCCAAATTTTTGTGGTTTTAGGTTTAGAGATTCAGTTTAGACACATAACTTCATAAATATATCACGACATATTGGTTTAAAACCTTGGCAAGTATTTTATCTAAATCGGAAATGTAAAAACCGTAAAAAGTTTCAGCCCAAATAACACGATAATCATTTTCTAAAATTTGCAACTTTTAACTGATTCTTATGCTAATGGTTGCATTAGATGACTACAAAAAATAAGGAAAATAAAAATAAACATAAGAATCCTGACACAAGACAGGTGAAATTAAAAGCCACGAAGCAACATAAGAAAGAGAACCCCTTCGAACTTTTAAAAAGTCGAATGAATTAAAATAATGACGCCTGTAAAGTTTAATTAAAATTAAAGTATACACTTTTTGGACTAGTGTTATCTTGGAACCTGTATTGGTTTCCAAATTAATTGTCAGATATCATGTTATATTTATCAAGTTAAATTTTAATTTTGCTATGTTAATCACGATGTTACACGGGATTTCCTCAGTGACATCAGAGTTCTTCCCAACGACCTTGAAAGTTTCCTTTATAATCTGACATATCGGATAATCATCAGCAATCGATTAAATTCAAAATATCATCCATCGAAATTTATCACCGAGATTCTATAACTTGTAACAAAAAGGACTCTCAAAATATTTACTGTAATTCTAGAGATTAATGACTTAATAAAAAAAACCAAAGAGTTGATCCTCCTGTTACGATTTCTTTGCATTCTTCGCATCAATTTGTAACCATAAACACAGTTTCTTTCACAATTCGTGGAAAAGGCGTAACCAGGCAAAAACACCGGGCTCTATAGTTTAATATAAGTAATTCCGAAACTTAAATGACATCTAATACTAGATGGAAAATTTTTTATTATAATGCAATGAGGGATTACTGAAAATCATTTTAATAGTACTGTTTATATAGGGGAAGATTAATTAATTTATATTAAAAGCCAAAATTCAATTGGAGGTGGGGAAGGGCTAAAGAGTATTTAACAGCGTTTTAAAAGGTTCATTATTTTAACAGTAAATCTAGGTTAAATTTATTATTTTTAGAGTTTGTAAAAATTCCATTACATTAAATAGAACAAACCTATCTAAGCACGAGGATCTTAAATAGTTTAGATAGATAGTGCCCATAGTCAAAATGATTTTACTTTATTTGCAGCTGTTTAGAAAGAAAGGAAAAATCAAACCAACATTAGCCTAAACTTAAACAAGCTACGTGCGAGAATATAAGATAATTTAAACAAGTTTGTTTTGCATTGGAACACCCTTATTTTTAGATTTTAAATTACAGTATATTGTAGTCTTACAAATATCTTACAGGAGCATATAAAAACTAATTGTGTTGAATTAGGACGAAACCTGAAAAACACATATGAGTAAGAACTAGAGTCCGTTTAACAAACTAATGTTTCATTTGTTTATAAAAATGCTGAATCAATCATGATTGCGTCATTTATAAACCATAAATCAATTTTAGTTTGAAAACTTTTCATTACGTTTATTTCATTACGTCAGTTAACAGAAGTGTTTTCCTGCAGTTATCATTGAATTGACACTCTTATTTTTTGTGACTACGGAATAATTTTCCACCACTGATGGAATTGTCCGTTGCAAACACGACTATCTCTAGGTCAACATCTTAAAGCATGAATGAGATTGGGGAAAACGTGATGTGGGCCAAGTTCTTCATAGTATTATCACTTTCACACTTTTAATTTATTTAAAACTGTTTTCAGTGCGAGAAAACAAATATGTAATTTTATCTATTCAAGTAAAAGAATGAAACTGATGAGTAAGATAAACTTAGAGGAACATTTTGCGTATTTTCATTTGTAAAACACGTTTTCAAAGAAATTAACAATAATATTGTAAACAAATAAAAACCCTGTATTTAACCTGCAGACTATGCGAATTCACATTCGCCTAATCAGACTTACACTGAAATATTCCCTTGAACATGTTATATTTATTTCCATTAGGTTTAGTGAGCACATTAGGTTTGCTACTACCATTGACTATACAATGTCATCATAAGGTGTGTTTTAATTATTTGAATGTGAATGGCTTGGTATGAAATAATAGTAATTGTAGTTTACGCAACGATCGCGTAAATATAGTGTCAACG